TTAAAAATTCGAATGAAAATATTTATTTCCTGGAAAATTTAAACTAATAATAATGCTCGATATTCACTTATATATATATATATATATATAAAAATCAGCAAAAAAAATCAAAGTGGAAATCTGCAGTAAATGTTTTCAAATATGCTAGAACTGCAGTTATGACTTCAAAAAGGCAATTAATTGATTTACATTTTTTAGAATTTTCTTTTGTCACAATTTAATTTGTTTATTCCTTAAATCCGAAGCAAACAAAATATTAATTTTGTTTTCTTAAACATCGATTTTCTCGGGTTTTTTTACTTACCCAGTGTATATATATATATATATATATTTGTCTCTGCATTTACTGAATATCTCAGACTTCTTGTATATATATTATATATATAAATATGTTATCTATAGCGAGCAAAACGGCTAGACCAAATTGGTTGATTTTTAAAAGAAACCCATGGGTACCCTGTGGGTAGCCCGTAACAAATTTTTTCCCTTAAAGTGTATCTAAAATGTCACGGGCAACGCCGGGTACTACAGCTAGTAAATTTATATTTTTTCAAAATTTACTACAGCTTGCATCATAGTATAGTACATTAAACCTTACCAACAATTACATTTGCATATCTACGGTAACAGTTCATGTAGATTTGCTTACAATTAATTACGTATGCAGCCCATGAAGGAATTGGTCGAATCATCAGCAGAAATCAGATATGTAGCCTGTCGGTAGGGTTACATTCTTAAGAAAGATTTTACTTTACATTTAAACATTTTTTTGGCCAAGCCCTCAGATAACGTTCAAACCCTGATAGATTTTTAATCTTTACTAATTATCTTTTGAGTTCATTGTTAATGATATTGTTAAATGCTTTAAAAAAGCAATGATGTTCCATCTATATATATATACTTTCCTTGCGTGTCCGTTTGTATCTAAGAAACGTCAAATAAAAAATATATATTCGTGGCAACGTACATATCCCCAGGGAAGTTCTCTGGACCTTAAAAATTGACAAATTTTTACCGGGTCATTTGTTTGACATTCAATAATTTTAAAAAAAGCTCCAATTTAAACAAAAAGCGCTAAAATTTGAGACGATTCAAAATGGCGACTTTCAGAACAGCAGTAAAATCTAAAATTGTCGCCAAGCGCCTTGATAGCCTATCCATAGACCTTTGTATTAAATATATCTAGAAAGTTTTAATTTTTGTATAATTTCTTATTATTCGAATTATTTGTCTGAAAGTGTTTAAGTATGTAAAATATTCTGTTTAACTCCATAGCAACATCTAAATGACGTAAATCCTACAGTTGCAAAAATGTTACAGATATCCTGTATATAGGTTAACTTATTTATATATCTGCTAACTTGAAAATTTCTAACGTAAAGAAAGTAAAAAAAAAGGAATTTTTATCCCATATTATTTTTTTCTAATTTTAAACTTTAAATCAATTATTTCTGTGAAAGATTCCCTAGTATTCTAAAAAGTTACGTTTAAAGATTTGTTTGTTTTGATCTCATATTACGGATTAATTAAAAAATGACGAATATTAATCCACTATTTCATATTAATTAATTATCTATAAATACAAAATGGTAATCTTCTCTCTGTCTGTTTGTTTGTCCAATAATAACTTTGGCATCCCCTGAAAGATTTGCCTGAAATTTTGGTTGGGGAATTCGGAAGACCTACGGGAATGTTATTAGCTTGGTTTTAAGATTCTAAGTTAAGTGAGTTGTAATGTACGAAAAAGCGCGGATAACTATGACTACCCTTAGCAACGCTGGGTTCCCAAGCTAGTCATTACACGCAGCTCTGCCCCTTTAGTAAAAGTAGATTCGACCTATTTGAAGCATAAAGTCGGACCGCGTCAACCTTGTTGCACCGGCAAGTCCTGTCCATAGAGCTAGGAACAGTACAAACTGGAACCGGGAAAGTTGACCCGGCTCGGAAATTCAAATGTACTACGGTTGTCCTTGATTAATAAGATTACTCTCATTTTTGCAGAAAACTCATTACTTAGCATTAAAGTAAAGTTCATCAGTACAAATAATAGACATAATAAACATATAATTTTATTAAGGATGGATAAAGGTTTCGATTTACAATTGGATTCGATTACAGTCATTTTTTAGTTTTTACAAAAAACAATATAATTTCTAATATATATGAATAAATCTACTTCTATTTGAAAATACTACATTGTTTTACACGGATACATTTTCTGATTTAGAAAAGCCTGACATTTTTTTAATTAGCTTTCATATAATTTCGAACTAAATATTTTGAAACATATTTACGAATATTAAGAATTAATTGTAATCTTAAACCCAGATACAAGCTGATAATCTTAAACCCAGATACAAGCTGATAATCTTAAACCCAGATAAGCTGATAATCTTAAACCAAGATACAAGTTGATAATCTTAATTCTAGATACAAGCTGATAATCTTAAACCCAGATACTATAGCTGATAATCTTAAACCCAGATAGTATAGCTGATAATTTTAAACCCAGATACAAGCTGATAATCTTAAACCCAGATACAAGCTGATAATCTTAAACCAAGATACTATAGCTGATAATCTTAAACCAAGATACAAGCTGATAATCTTAAACCCAGATACTATAGCTGATAATCTTAAACCTAGATACAAGTTGATAATCGTAAACCCAGATAAGCTGATAATTCTAATCCCAGCTGACAGTGTAGAATGTGTGTATATAGTTTGTAAAAAGCCTTAATGGGTATTTAACAACCCAATCTAGTGACACTGTGCTCAGTTTACTTATATAAGTGACAACTCTTTAAAACGATATTTTCTTTTGTTTATGAAATTAAATCAAACTGAAGAACCGACACATACTTCCCCTCTCAACCCAACATAAATATACAACGGAATTAAGCTGGGGGAGCCAGGTTTTTAGCAGCAAAACGGAGTCATCGGAGACCATCTTCACATGTTATTATTTGCTGAATTAATGTTTAAAGAATTGCATAAAAAGTGTTTTCTAATGACGTCCTATAATAAAGGCTCGAATCGCTTAGAGTAATCAGCAAATATACAAGAAAAAGAAATATCTGAATTATACATGCTTCGGGATTTGTGGAGGCAAAGTTTAAGCACTGTTTCATTTGTTTATATTAATTCGTTCTATTTGTTTTTATACATTCTCTAAACTTTGCAAAACTTGGGTAGCGCTATACTATACTACTCAACAATATTGGGTTAGATAACTTGGGTAGCGCCATACTATACTACTCAACAATATTGGGTTAGATAAATTGGGTAGCGCTATTCTACTCAACAATATTGGGTAGGATAACTTGGGTAGCACTATACTACTCAACAATATTGGGTTAGATAACTTGGGTAGCGCCATACTACTCAACAATATTGGGTTGGATAACTTGGGTAGCGCTATACCACTCAACAATATTGGGTTGGATAACTTGGGTAGCGCATACTACTCAACAATATTGGGTTAGATAACTTGGGTAGCGCTATACTACTCAACCATATTTGGTTTGATAACAAAATTGCGATCTTTTCAAATTTAAAATGTTTATCTACGCAGTTTACAATGTGCATGCTTGATGGTTTAAGATGAAATTTTGCTAAAATATTTGACTATTTATAATATTTTTAAGAAAATGAATTCTCTAGCATAACTAAAAATAATGTCTTGGTTTTAAATATTCACAATATGATATAACCTTCAAACTTTGATTTATAATTCATTGATCGATTACTCAGCTAGGGCGATTCTCACCCCTTTATTTGAAATATAGTGACATAATTTAAAATATCACCCCATTTGTTGACTGGCATGTTCAATTCACAACGTTACCCTTTAAACCTTTGACTGATGAAAGATAAAGTTATTCTTGTTTATCCGCTGTTTTATATTTAAACATGTGATTATCCAGAATTATTTGAAGTATGGATACAAGAGTACCGTTGTAAATCTATAAATGGGGGTTAAATAAGATTTAAGCAAAAATAGTTGATATTTAATAATATTTTTTATTTGCTTTGTATACAATGCACTTGAAACGACGATTTTTTCCGCTAGGTGTCTCTGCCACCTGGAATCATTCAGAGCATCGAGAGCAGATCCACCTGGCGGCCAACTAATCGGCGTTTTAAGTGCATTGTCTATAATAAAACAAGTAATTTTTTTGAGATATCAACTATAAACGAATGTGTCGAAAAATTATCGACGATTATAGGTTGTAACATCTGAATGATTTGGTTGGAATTAAATTGATTTTTTACGATCCGAGTCGAATGCTGCAACTTTCTGAACTTGTGTGGACGCTACGTTCTTTGGTATTCTAGTCGTTTTTAACAATTTTCTCCTTATAGACGCAATAGATAGAAGTAGCGATCCCCATAAATAATTTCTCGAACACTCCCTTTAAGTTAGAATATTAAAGTTATGCAAGTTCATGATACATCTTTTCAACACTCTTGTCTTATCTGTTAAATCTCTGAGTTATTCGCTGATTAAACATTTTAAGATTATACAAATCAGAAACGGGAATTGATAAAAAATTGAGGAAATTGAGTTTTGTCACAAAAATTGTAATTTCTTAAATAATAATTTTATCCAAGTTTTAAAAACAAAAATAAGATTGTATCATACTTCAAAAGCAGTTAAATAATTAATGGCCCTTTTAGATATATCTCAACAAGAAATCTGTACCAGCATTAAAAATTCATATTATCTCGAAATTTCAAAAGATTACAAAAAATCTTTCGAAAAATTTTGGTATTAAAATCTGCGTTGAATAAAAATCAGGAAAATTAATGAACATTTTTTCAAAAGTTCTAAATTAAAAAAGAATCGAAATTAATTTTTAGAAAGAACTCCGGGGAAAAGTTTTATCTCTGTTTGAACCTCTACTGACGGATTAGAGTTCTCTTCTCTTGGCTTCAGGGACTGCTCCAGGGAGCCGTTAGTACAGGACGAACTTGTCTCATCTCCGATAGAATTATCGGGTTCTCCGTCCCGGCTCTTGGTCTTCTTCCTTGTAGGCATGCTCGGTAGAACATTGGGATGAGGGTAGTTAGCAAACTTACACATTTTATGATGCCAGCACATATCCTAAACACACATTTTATATTGCCAGCATTCCTAAATATACATTTAATGATGCCAGCACATATCCTAAATACTCATTTTATATTGCCAGCACATATCCTAAACACACATTTTATATTGCCAGCACATATCCTAAACACACATTTAATAATGCCAGCAGATATCCTAAACACACATTTTATATTGCCATTTAATGATGCCAGCACATATCCTAAATACTCATTTTATATTGCCAGCACATATCCTAAACACACATTTTATATTGCCAGCACATATCCTAAACACACATTTAATAATGCCAGCAGATATCCTAAACACACATTTTATATTGCCAGCACATATCCTAAATATACATTTAATGATGCCAGCACATACCCTAAATTCTCATTTTATATTGCCAGCACATATCCTAAATACACATTTAATGATACTAGCACATACCCTAAATACACATTTCATATTGCCAGCACATATCCTAAACACACATTTTATATGGCCAGCTCATACCCTAAATACACAGTTAATGATGCTAGCACATACCCTAAATACTCATTTTATATTGCCAGCACATATCCTACTTACACATTTTATGATGCCAGCACATGTCCTAAATACACGCAGGTTTAATCAAATTATTTCTCAACAAGATTCCGTCAACTTAAAGGAATTCAGTCTTAATTTTCTTAAATATTTCAACCAATGATTTATGATAGAATAAATAATCTAAGTTTGAAATATTTACGGTTTACGCCATCAAGTCATGCAATTAAATATGAATTAGTTAGATGTTTGGAATTTGTGGCCTTTAAAGGGAGTGTTCGCGAAAAATGAAAGGGGGCATAAGACTTACGGCGAAAAATAAGCGCTTTTGATCGCTACTAATCTTAATTCTATCTGTTGCGTCAATAAGGAGAAAATTGTTAAAAACGACTCATACCTAAGAACGTAGCGTCCATGCAAATTCAGAAAGTTGCAACATTCAACTCGGATCGTAAAATAATCAATTTAATTATAGACAAATCATTCAGATATTAAAACCAATAGTCATCGATTATTTTTCTAGTTTTGATTTTGTTTTTTTTAAATAATATTTCGCTGGAGCTGGATTTTCGAACATTCCTGGAAAATATGAAAATGACGTTCTTCGGTAAGAGTCGTTTTTAACCGTTTTCTCCAATTATAGACAGAACAGATAGAAGTAATATTAGTAGCGATCAAAAGCGCTTATTTTTCGCTGTAGGCATATACACCCTTTCATTTTTCGTGAACACTTCCTTTCAGTAAAATATCAATACAATTCAATTTCCAATTCAATTCAACAAAATAGATCAGCAAGAAAATGCCCAATAGTATGTCCATTCCTAGCAGAAAAGCGACACGATTTGTTATTCACAAAAGAGATCAGAGCCTTATCACAGTAACATGCCCCTGTATAAATGGGGGGTCACTTAAAATTACCTCTGCAGTCCTTTAAAGTATGAACCCTAATGTTTTAGATTTTATCTTTTGAATTTATTCTAATGTTTGAGAAGAAAACATATAAAACTTGTGAAAAACAAGAGTATATTACATGTTAACATCAAGATCTAAATCTGTTTCAATTTGCATTAGAATTTTTCTACTTTATGCAAACTTTCTCCTCATCTCGACATTTTATACAATTTTAGAATAGAAATAAAAATGCGGGCTTAATCCAACATAAAAACTGCAGCTGTTACGTAATAGTACTTTAGGGTGTTTGTAAACATGTTGAATTCATCTGATTTTCACAAAGATTTATAGTTATAACGGAAAATCATTGTTTGTAAAGTGAAAGTCATAAAGTCTATGTGAAATGATCATTGGTCAATTATGAAACCAGCCTATTTCATAATTTGGTTTTCTTTTAACATTAATTTTAGATTTTATATAAAATGATGTTCCATGGCCCAAAAGGTGTTATAGCGCAAATATGTGAAGTACACCTGCAGTATGGAAACAGTACAACAAAATGGCCTTTTTACACTTTTTTTCTAGTAAATTCCACTCTAATATATATTCTATTCTCTTTGGATTTTCAATCATAAGTCATGAATCTCGGGATCAAGCAATGATCTCCATCTTATTCAGATCTACGGATACATTTATGATACTCTTGGATATCCCGTGATAATAATACCTTGGAGGGATAACTTCAAGCATGTATTGATCCATAAATTAAAAAGTGCCCACATTGGATATCGACAACGACATCAAGCGTTTGAGATAAACCGTATCGGATGACAGATAATTTGGACGCTTAAAAAATATTTAAAGAATTACTTGAGCTAAATAGTAAGCATTAGAATGTAAAAAATTAACCAAAATATCAATTTTTGGAACCCTCATGCACCACCATACATTTTTCGTTCCTTTGCTCAAATTCACTTACATTTTTGTATTTTCAACGGATCTTTTAAATTGGCAAAATAAAATTTTACTTAAAAGGGGTTAACTTGTTTTTTATTGTAAAAACCTGTAATTAAAATATTCTTAAGTTTGTTTCAATTGTCACAGATTAGGATTCCACAAAGAATTTAGCACATTTTAAATTAACATTGCTGCCAGGAGTGAATTTGAGAAAAATTGAGAAAATATAATTTAGGAAATCTGGGAAACTAAATACGTTTGAAATATGAAAAATAAACAAAATATTAACGGCCACAAACTCAAATTTTCCAATCCCTTTATCTTTGCAACCCAATGTCGCAGACCTTAGATATTTTAAACTCTGAATTCTGTTAGATGAAATAGTGTGTGTTTTAAATGTCAAAGGTTTCCACCATCAAGTTTTAAAGAGAATATTTTAATTTAACTCATGTATGCCGAGTCCATTAGTGCCTGATCAGGGCTCAGTCATGGTGTCTATTCTGAACCAGTAGAAATAGTATGGCGGCAACATCTATTTTTCTATATCTCTCATTATCCAATTAGATATACGAATCCTTTAATCGGCGCTATCAATAAATGGAAATATTTACTTCTACTGAAACTTTAGTGATTTGTAACATGAACGATTAGTACCTCTTGGAAATACTGAATTAATAAGATAAATAGCTGGAAATGGTTAACAGTGCATACTGAGTTTCAGTAACAGACACTGTATTGATGTTTATGCTGACCACTGTACTAAAACAAAGTTTTGATATTCATATCCTATTCCATGAGTTGCATGGTTCTCATGTGCATGAATGATTCTGTTTTTAAGCTGAAAATGGAATGAATTTTATAAACTGTTACCTTTACTGAAAATATAGCAGTACATCCATGGTGTTCAAATTGACATGAGATGGGACGGAACCTACACAGTGTCTCATGCTGCAGCCGGGAGTCAAGGAAAACAAACTCAGTACACCCTCGACTCCTAGATATATAAGGGGATTAAGTCTTTGCCACAAACTCAAATTATAATCCCTTTATTTTTGCAACCTGATGGTGTAACCATTTGATATTTTAAACTTAGATTATTTGATCTAACGGAATTCATAGTTTGAAATATCTAAGGTTTAAGACAAATATTTTTAAGTGGGCCTCAAAGTAACATGCAAAAAATTCTTTACACTGATAAGTTGTTGATTTATACATTTAAAAATGATTACTGTAGTCTCTAAAATAAAATAGAAAGGCCTGAAAATTTAGCCCAAACATGGAAAATATTTCTCCGGCCAACTTATTGTTCACATTTGAGACTTAAATCAGAATATCATTTCAAGAAATTTGTCTTTTTCACTTTATTCGAGTGACCACTTTTATACCAAAAGGGATTTTGATTTTACATTTTTGACCCAAAAAAAATAACTACAAGTTAGTAATTGATCAAGCTTGAAATATTTTATCGAAGCAATATTTTTATTTTTTAATGTAAAATAAAATTTGTTTTTTTTCCGCATGATGAAAACTAAAACTTGAAATAATATCATTTTATTTCATGGAAATTGTTTTTAAAGCTAGGACGGACAATAGACATTTTGACTTGTTTCTAAACATTTTACAACGAAATCTAATCTAATTTAGACCCTCTACTTATAATAGGAGTTGTAATGCGATAAAAAAAGAAAATAATAATAATTAAAGTTTTCAAAGTTGCATTTTTACTAGAGTAGAGTGTAAAAAAAACTTTTGCTTAGAGTCAAATTGTTGGAAACGTATCTGAAACGTATCTGAAACAGGACGTGATGAAGAATATAGAATCTTGGACGTGGAAGGACAGAGAAACATGGACGTGATGAAAGATAGAGAAACAAGAGAAAAGAGAAAAATCGACATGAAGAAGGATAGTGAAGCATGGACGTAATGAAGGATAGAGAAACATGGACGTGATTGAAGGAGGGAAACATGGACGTGATGAAGGATAGGAAAACAGGAACCTGATTAGGGATAGTGAAACATAGACGTGATGAAGGATAAAAAAACAAGGACGTGATTAAGAATAGGAAAACTAGGACGTGATGAAGAATATAGAATCTTGGACGTGGAAGGATAGAGAAACATGGACGTGATTAAGGATAGAGAAACATGGACGTGATGAAGGATAGGAAAACAGGAACCTGATTAGGGATAGTGAAACATGGACGTGATGAAGGATAAAAAACAAGGACGTGATTAAGAATAGGATTACTAGGACGTGATGAAGAATATAGAATCTTGGACGTGGAAGGATAGAGAAACATGGACGTGATTATGGATAAAGAAACATGGACGTGATGAAGGATAGAGAAACAAGGACATGTTGAAGGATAGAGAAACAAGGACGTGAAAAAGAAAAGAGAAAAATCGACGTGATGAAGGATAGAGAAACATGGACTTGATGAAGGATAGAGAAACAAGGACGTGATGATAAGGACGTGATGATGGAAAGGGAAACAATGAAGTGATGAAGAATAGAGAAACAATGACGTGATGATTGATAGAGAAACAAGGACGTGATGAAGGAAAGGGAAAAAAGGGCGTGATGAAGAATAGAAAAACATGGACGTACTTGAAGGAGGGAAACAAGGACGTGATGAAGGATAGGAAAACAGGAACCTGTTAGGGATAGTGAAAGATGGACGTGATGAAAGATAGAGAAACTTGGACGTGGAAGGATAGAGAAACATGGACGTGATAAAAGATAGAGAATTAAGGAAATGATGAAGGATAAAGAAACATGGATGTGATGAAAGATAGAGAAACATAGACGTAATAGGAGGTATGAAAAACAAGGACGTGATGAAGTATAGAGGAGTAGGGAAAACGTACCAACCGTCAAATGTTTAAAATAAGTTATATTTTGAAAATGGAAAATTTAAAAATAATTTTGAAAAAAATAAAGATATTTACAATTAACTATATAGATACTACAGTTTAATTTGATATTTGAAAATTTTAATCCCTGACTATGACAAAAAGCATCAAATAGTGTAAATGCAAATGTATCATATATTGCCCTGGAATTCTGAATAATAAATCGGCTTTTTCTCCGGCCACAGTTCTCTTTGAAAAGTAAGACTAATGCCAATGAATATCTAATAGGCTATTTAGTTTACCCTCAAAATACCTAAATAAGTGAACAGTCCCTTTAATGGATTAGAAAATGAAATGGCAAATAAAAAAAAAGTAAGAGTTGAGTCGTGAATATTAGGAAACAGATAGTAAATATTCTCTACAGTCCCTCTGAAGTCGCATTCTATGCGGCTAACCTTGTATGTAATGTTTGAGGATAATGTTAAAAAAAGGTCGGACTGCATCAGAAATAAAACTTATTTGAACAATTTAAGAAGTAGGCCTGACATTTTGGGATATTTGAACAAGCAGAAATTGAAATCTTTAACATTTCATACAGAATACTTCTTTTAATTAATTGCTCCTTAAATAAGGTTTAAAAAATGAATAATCTGAGAAATTTTGAATGAAAAGGATTATAATTACGTTAACACTTTCATTGGGATTGCCTTTTTATTTTCAATTAAATCTTAACTTAAAAAAAAATATGCTGTACTTTTAAAATACAATTATAGCATTGAGTCCGTCAACCTAATAGATTTAATCATTATGTAGTGAACACCTCTCAAGCTATCCCATTTTACTCTTGAACTAGGTTTAAAATATGATCTTTTATTTTTCTTAAAGGAATAGATCGCTAAATAAATAACAGATTAAGTTCTAAATCTGCGACCATTCCCTTTAAACTTGTTGAGCAAGGTGACTCCATATTTGTTGTTTTTGAAAAATAAATGTGATGTTGTCCCACTCGGTCGGATATGATATCTTTAATCTTTAAACACTTTCAGTTCCCCTGCAGGCAAGTTGAGAAAGGGTAGGGGGAATCTCATAAACTTGCAGGAAGAGGTTTCTAGTCCTTTTCTATCCGAATCTATTCCCCATATTTTCCCTATTATTGGACTAACGTTTTTTGTTGTCTTAAATATTTTTTCTTAAAAAAGAGGATTGAAAGTTTTGTAGAATTCACATAAACTATCAAGTCTACTAATTTCCAGTTGCTAGAGACATATTGGCAGGGGAAGTTAAGCACCTGGGCACTAACATTTCAGTAGAAGTAAATATTTCAATTGCTGATATAAGGACTTATCTCTAATTGGATACTGAGCTAGATAGAAAGATAGATGTTACCTCCATGCAATTTCTATTGGTTCAGAATAGACAACAAACACATGGCTGAACCCTGATTGGATCAGACGCTAATGGACTTGGCATACTAGAGTGTGCAGGTTGGAAAGAAAAAGAAATATGGAAAACAAAAAAGAAAAATCGAAGATTGGAGATAGTAATGGGTTATTAGCTTCTAAATGAAATATATGTTGGCTGATAATAATACTTTGATTAGTTAAATATTAGAATTTATCTTATCACGATACCGTTGGTTGAGGACTGTTCCTTTTTCTTAGCGGAGCCTCGTAGGATCGGGAGAACATCTGGAGTTTCTGAATCTTGGTTCTCATCCTCGTCCTCCCTACTCGTCCTGCTCTCCTCTCTGCTGGTCCTACGGTCTTGTTTACCCAGCATTCCTAGTGCATTTGTAGTTGGGTAATTTCCCAAAGACCTTTTCTTATGTGGCAACTTCCCAAGTGACAATTTCCCAAGTAGCAACTTTCCAAGTGTTCAATTTCCCAAGCGGCAACTTCCCATGCAATGGATAGGTTAGGTCTTCCAAAGCGCCGCAGGCTGCAATGATGGCCGAGTGCCGCGGCCGAACACTACAACTAACAGGCTCGGGGGGCCTAGCGCTGGGGCCAGAACAGACTTGGGAAGTTGCCGCTTGGTAAATTGCACGTTTGGGAAGTTGTCACTTGGGATGATTTCCCTGGGGAAGTTGTGGCTTGAGAAAATGCCTTTGGGAAAGTACCTAACATTGGGTTGATAATCGTTTCTAAAACTTAAAATAAAACTTTCAATATTTCAAAACAGTACGCTGTTAAAGTTTGCATTTCTTAAAAATTTGCAATACTTTTATTCTAAAAAAAATTATGTGCATTAATTTGGTTCAATTTTTTGCACATATTTTCTCTCGGGGCTAAAATTTGTTATATTGTAAGAAAATCAAATGTTTAGAATAAACAATTAAAAAAAATTGCTCTTACACTCATGCCGAATATTGACCTTGAAAGAAAATACAAAGAAAAAGAAGCAAATACAAACCAACTTATTGCACATGACTTAGCTATACCTAGCAGCTTGGTCGAGTTACTTCGTTTAGTCTTCTTCACATCAGTCATTCTCAATCTGATAAATTAGAGATTTTTAATCTTTTTCTCAATCTGATAAATTAGAGATTTTTAATCTTTTTCTCAATCTGATAAATTAGACATTTTTAGTCTTTTTCTCAATCTGATAAATTAGACATTTTTAGTCTTTTTCTCAATCTGATAAATTAGACATTTTTAGTCTTTTTCTCAATCTGATAAATTAGACATTTTTAGTCTATTGCGAAAAGGAATTGAGTTTTGGTCACAACCTAATCCCTATATCTTTGCAGCCTGATCGTATAAACCTGGGACATTTCTAACTTAGATCATTAGATCTAACAGAGCGCAAAGTTTGAAATATCTAAGGTGTACGACATTGGGTTGCAAAGGTATAAGAATCATATTCTATATTTCTATAGAAAGTCAGAGTTTGTGGAAATGCAATTCCTTTCATATCAAATTTTTAATTGGAAGGCAATTTTGAATCCATTCGACCTGAAACGAGTACCATTAAGGGACTTTAAAATTAGAGTTGGGCATCGATATAAACCAGAACCATTTTTCAAATTGTTCGTTAATTAACGATTGAGTTTACATCGTTCAGACTTATATATTTTGGCAGAGTCAATGTTTTTTTAAAAAGTAAACTAAGAGAAAATAATTGAAGCCTCCTGAAGCATCACATATGTATGAAACTAATCTGTTACTAAAATTATAATGATTATTTGAATTGCGAGTAAATAAAAATCTATAAAATCAATAAAAAAATCAATAAAAATCTGAACTATTTTCTATTATGACTTGATTTAAGATTTTGGCATTCTTTATAATGTTGATGAAGTTTTAAAATTACATGCAATGATTATAAATCTACAAAAATGATGAATAATATTTAAAGAAATATATAAATTATAAATTTATGGAAACATTTTGAAATAAGATATATTTAGAGCCCATTCAAGTGCAGGCTCTGATGTAATTGGTTTAAAAAATGTTTAATAATGTTTATTAATGATTGATAATGTTTAATAATGTTTAATAATATTTTTGAGAAACGGATTAGTAAGACGAAAACAGGTCTAATTATGTCTAGCCTGAGAAATTTAAAATAATCAGGGTGCTTCGCGCTCGCGCCCATTTTCTATTTCAACTTTTAAGGAATTGAGACTTTGCCCCAAACTCAAATTTTCTAATCCCTATGTCTTTGCAAACTGATGGTGTAAACTTTTGAAATTTCAAACTTAGATTATTTTATCTGACAAAATTCGTTGTTTGAAATATCTGTAAGGTCTACGATATTGGGTTCCAATGATAAAGCTATTAACAAATTAGATTTTGTGGCAAAAACTCAACTATTTCCTCAATCTTTTAGCAATTCTCTTTGAAAAAACAATAAAATTTGTTGAAAACTTACAACTTTTTTCTGTGGATTTTCAAAATTTTACAAAATTCTAAATTTTTTTGAGACTGTAATTCTGAGCGTTCATAAACCTTTCCTAGGGTCATGTGAGGTCCCAAATATAATTTTAGCCTTATCGCACCCCGGACTAACCATAGTTAGAGGCATTCGGTTTCTTCTATTTTGGTTTATATTTTAACAATCTTTAAACTTTGTTTGTTTAATACTTTAATTCAAAACGTATATGCCGGCAAAAAAGTATTTAAGAAAGAAGGCTGAAAAATTATGTTTAATAGGAGAAATTGGAGTCGAAAGTCATAGCTTTCTGGAATATTGACAGAACCATTAAATCCACGTGATCGGTTCAGCCGTTTTGACGTATATTGGATACAAACAAACAGACAAGCAAAGTATATAGATAGTTAGATGAATTAGTATAGTTAACTGGTTGAATTGGATTAAGACTTTCGAAATGTTCCACAATAACAGTAGCTATGAAAAGTAAAGCAATAAATTGAAATGTTCCACAATAACAGTAGCTATGAAAAGTAAAGCAATAAATTGAAATGTTCCACAATAACAGTAGCTATGAAAAGTAAAGCAATAAATTGAAATGTTCCACAATAACAGTAGCTATGAAAAGTAAAGCAATAAATTGAAATGTTCCACAATAACAGTAGCTATGAAAAGTAAAGCAATAAATTGAAATGTTCCACAATAACAGTAGCTATGAAAAGTAAAGCAATAAATTGAAATGTTCCACAATAACAGTAGCTATGAAAAGTAAAGCAATAAATTGAAATGGGCCGTCCTTCTGTTAAAATATTCTCTGAAGATCTATAAAATCAAAAAAATCTAAAAATTCAATCAACTTGATTTTACAACGCTCTGACATCACAGATTTCTTTTCCTATGTTTATAAAATTCTGAAAGAGAACATACAGATTTTTCCAAGAAACCCTGAAGTGATGATTTAACAGACAAACTTTCTTCTTTGAAGGCGGGGGAAATTTTGTGAAGGGGTATCACAGATAGATATACAAGTAAATTGAAGGATTGGGGGGGGGGGGGGGGTATATCAAATTGAAAGTTGAGAACTAGGTTTAAATCAACATTTAACAGTTGAACCGGTTTTTGGGGGATTATCTTTAATGATGAGAATTCTGTCCAAAAATTGATGAATGTTAAAGAGACTGTAAGCGCAATTTCATGTAACCCTCCATACAACGATACCCTAGAAGCCCTAATCTGATAAATAATGTGGAAATATTTTCGACTTTCTGGGTTTAAAAGTGCTTAATTTTGATAATTCCTACATGATTTCCTTCAGTAGAAATGCACAAGTCACTTTTGCAGAGAAAACACAATTGAAAATAATGAGTTTTCGAAATTATAAACATTGAAATCTAGGTGATCAGACAATTTTTGTAAATCAGGCATTGCCATCTTTGCATGGAAAGTCAATTGAAATTAAGCTTACCGTCCCTTAGAGGTTTAAGCTTGTTCTGTGATTTGATTATACCTTTTATGTCACTATACCACTAATCATCAAGACAAGGCTTCTGAAAAACACATTTTATCTAAAGAGAATAAATACACTTTAATAAAATATGTAATATTTTTTTTAATGTGTTGTTTTTGTCTGAATAAAGTACGCAACTAGACAATGGTAAATTAAGGAAAACTTTATGTAAAATATTTTTTTTATATTTTACATAATTTAACCTTAAATTAAAAATTAACCTAAAGTATTATTTAACACCTTTTTCAAAATAATATGATTATTCGCAATTCTACAATTCTACAGGGAAGTTATGGGAATTTTACAAAAACTTCGCAGACCGGTTGGTTATTTTACGTAATTGTCCCAAGGGACGTAAAGTAACTTATCGTCCCTATATTAGGGGAGTCGTAGGTAAAAAGGCGGTAAAATAACTAAACTTATTCCCAATAACAAAATTAAACCTTATTCAATACATAATTAAACCTGTACTTAAATATAAATCTGAACTGTAATATAACTAAGCCTATACTTAAACATAAACCTGAACTGTAGTATAGCAAAACCTTTATTTAAACATAAACCAGAACTGTAGTATAACTAAGCCTATACTTAAATATAAACCTGAACTGTAATATAACTAAACCTATACTTAAACATAAACCTGAACTGTAACATAACTAAACTTATACTTAACATAAACCTGAACTGTAATATAACTAAACCTATACTGAAACATAAACCTAATCCTCTAAAAAAATTAAGAACATAAACATCAGGACCAGATTTAATGAATAGTAAGAAATAGATAGCTGATCTACGTAGTTCAACCACTAATCCTGTACGCTAGTTCAAATATTAGGTTGTAAAGATATAAGGATAAAAAATTATAGTGTGATTTGATGAAATATGAGCGTAAGCTGAACCAAAACCAACCATGAACCTTATCGAACTGGTGTATAGTCCTAAAGGTTTGCATATCTTACATAGGTTGTAATAATTGAATAGTGAGAAACAATTGAACTAGGTATGACTAGTAAAACTAATCCTCCGACATTAGGAAACCTAACCATATTATATCCTAAACCTAAACTGGATTTAGACGAAACCTGGTTTTGTAGAAGAGAGCTAGATGGAGAAATACCTGGAGAAGTTGTCCATTGGAAAAATTACCTCGGAAAAGTTCCTGAAATCTAAACTTTAAAATAAACCTGAAACTGAATTAAAACCTTAAGATGATGAAAACCTGACCCTGACCCTGAACCTGAATCTAAACCTGAATCTATCCCTGACCCTGAACCTGAATCTAGACATGAATCTATCCCTGACCCTGAACCTGAATCTAGACCTGAATCTATCCCTGACCCTAAACCTGAATCTAGACCTGAATCTATCCTAGACCCTGAACCTGAATCTAAACCTGAATCTATCTCTGACCCTAAACCTGAATCTAGACCTGAATCTATCCATGACCCTGACCCTGAACCTGAATCTAAACCTGAATCTATCCCTGACCCTGAACCTGAATCTAAACCTGAATCTATCCCTGACCCTGAACCTGAATCTAAACCTGAATCTATCCCTGACCCTAAACCTGAATCTAGACCTGAATCGATCCTAGACCCTGAACCTGAATCTAGACCTGAATCTATCCCTGACCCTAAACCTGAATCTAGACCTGAATCTATCCATGACCCTGACCCTGAACCTGAATCTAGACCTGAATCTATCCCTGACCCTGAACCTAACCTTGAACCTGAACCTGAACCTAAACCTAAAAATGCACCTGAGATGATGAACAGCTGAACCTGAGCCGTGAACCCTAAAACTGAACCATGATCCTAAGCCTGTTGTTAAACCTACACCTGGCCCTGAGCCTGACTATGAACCTTGAATAATATCTAAACCTAAACCTTGATATGTACCCCTGCGAGGACGGATATTCTGAAACTGCCAGACAAGCGTAAACACCAGCTTTCTCGGTCAGCCTCTCTGACCCCCCCTCCCATCTTCCCTGTATGCATATACAAAATAATCATTTCTAGGGGAAAATGTTTTGCAAAATGTACGAAAAGTGAACTGCCATAATTTCAGTAGGTTTTCCTTAATTTAGGTTGATGACAATAACAGATACATTCTGTAAACAAATATTTTATCAGAAACTGTAGACGCAATTTCTATACATACGGGATCCCTCATTTAAAGAGTGACTTGTCTACTCACAATGATATCCTTTAAACCTGAGTAACAAGAGATATTATCGTTTTCTAACTAAAAAAGTGTTGAATTCTGTTAATTTGCATCAATGTCTTTACAAAATAAATCTGCAAGTTCCCTTAAAAAGAAACCAGGATTGAAACTGTTCACTATTTAGCATGAAGGATATCTATTTAATTTATCCTGAATCAGAGAAAGGTTTACATGGTATCGATGTAGATCAGAAATGCCACTCTGTACTTGAAGGCCCACTTGTAAATACATTTTACACTATATTAAAGGGACTGTAAAGCGTAATTTCAAATGTAAAGATTTTCATTTTTTAAATAAAATTAAATCGAATTTATTTTTAGGATTCATGTAAAAAAGTGAGTAAACTTTGAATTAGAAAAATTAAACTGATATATAATTGAATACTACGTTAGAAAACACAAACATACAGCTGCTTAAATAAAATGTAGAGTACAATTTATGCTAACAGTCCCTTGTTTATATATTTGGTTATACTAGAAAATATTATTGTCAGTTTAGGAGCAATATGTAGAAAATATTATTGTCAGTTTATGAGCAATATGTAGAAAATATTATTGTCAGTTTAGGAGCAATATGTAGAAAATATTATTGTCAGTTTAGGAGCAATATGTAGAAAAGTTTGAACCTGATATTTCTGTTTATCAGTTTTATATTGAAATTTTTTTTTAAATGTGAGAATATTTGCACGTTGCAGAGGCGTTTTCAGGAGGGGCTATGGGGGCTCTGCCCCCCCTTGGTCAGTGAAATTGGGCCCTAACGGACGTGCTAAGATCCCCCTAGACAGAAACAATTTTATGAGCCCCCCCTACCCCTGGCAAATTCTTGAATACGCCCCTGGCACGTTGCATAAATCACGTTAAACTAAGGTAAATTGAAAGTATAATTGAAATCTTAGATGTTTTCAATATTAAATTCTTCTTTTATTAAAGCGTTATTAAAGGGAGTGGTCGCGAAAAATGAAAGGGGGTATAGGCTTAATTAATACCCCCTTTCATTTTTCGCGAACACTCCCTTTAAAAGATATTGTAGTACATAATAAGATAAACCTGCTAATCTCATACTTGTACCTAAAACACATACTACACAGACTGCTCATACACTCTACCTGGATAGGATGAGCAGGCCTATAGTGTCCTGGCACGCCATGTTCCATGTAATGTTTTTTGACTGACATCTCACGGCCATTTGTTGCATTCAGGGGTTAAGTTTTACAACTTTTAAATAAATACTCCAATTTATTTTAAACATAAAACATAATGTCTATTTTTAAAGATTTTGCATTTCCTATTCAAAGGATTCTTAAATATCCCTGAATACAGTTGTCTCCTGATTGGTCGTGTACAGTACTTGTACACAATAGAAGATGTTGTGAAAAATATCGCATTGCATAGGTGTTAAGCGATCTCTGTAACTCTCTTATCTCTGTCGTAAAATCAAAACTAGAAAAGCTTCTAGGTCACATAATTGCACCATTAATATTGAATAAAGAAACTGAGTTGTTGGCATAAACTTAAATTTTCTAATCCTGATATTTTTGCAACCTGATGGTTTGATATTTCAAACGTAGACTATTTACCTCTACGAAATTGAGAAGTAACGACGTAAGGATTGGAAAATTGGAGATTGTGGCGAGTTATCAGTTCCTTTAATCTTCTCCTTCTATCTAATTTGTTGTGATGTAGATAAGCATACCAACGGTATTTAGTAGTAATAAAAGCAAACGTTAAAGAACGAGAGCACGAAGCGCTTTTGCAGAATAATGATTGAAACATAACCCTATATAGTCTACAATGATAGTTTCGGAAACAATAAAGTAGAATATCTTTCCTTGATTTATTCGTTCCTCTTTCTGTTACAGATCTATTTGTGATCAGAAAACGATTCTGAAAGTGCGAGGGCATCGATACCTAAATACCTAATTACCGAAATACCTAAATACACAAACACACCAAAATTTTGTACGCTCAGCAGTTAAGAGCGCTAGCTACAAATCCTTAAATTTATACTGCATTGCTGTTTTAACCTTTGCATTTTTATGTCAAAAACAAGTTTTTTCTTCATTACTTCTCTCCAACCTTCCATTCTTTCATCTCCTTCTCCCCCCCCCTTCCATTCCTTCCTCTCCTTCTCCCCCACCTTCCAAAGACAACAATGCAGTACGGTTAAGAGAGCAATTCAGTACGGAAATTTAAGGATTTGTAGCTAGGGTTCCTTTCTGCTGTAGGTAGCTAGGGTTCCTTTCTGCTGTAGGTAGCTAGGGTTCCTATCTGCTGTAGGTAGCTAGGGTTCCTTTCTGTTGTAGGTAGCTATGGTTCCTATCTGCTGTAGGTTGCTATGGTTCCTATCTGCTGTAGCTAGGGTTCCTATCTGCTGTAGGTAGCTAGGGTTCCTATCTGCTGTATGTAGCTAGGGTTCCTATCTGCTGTAGCTAGGGTTCCTATCTGCTGTAGGTAGCTAGGTTTCCTATCTGCTGTAGCTAGGGTTCCTATCTGCTGTAAGCTAGCTAGGGTTCCTTTCTGCTGTAGGTAGCTAGGGTTCCTATCTGCTGTAGGCTAACTAGGGTTCCTTTCTGCTGTAGGTAGCTAGGGTTTCTATCTGCTGTAGGTAGCTAGGGTTCCTATCTGCTGTAGCTAGGGTTCCTATCTGCTGTAGGTAGCTAGGATTCCTATCTGCTGTAGCTAGGGTTCCTATCTACTGTAGGTAGCTAGGGTTCCTATCTGCTGTAGACTAGCTAGGGTTCCTATCTGCTGTAGGTAGCTAGGGTTCCTATTTGCTGTAGGCTAGCTAGGGTTCCTATCTGCTGTAGCTAGGGTTCCTATCTGCTGTAGGCTAGCTAGGGTTCCTATCTGCTGTAGTCTAGCTAGGGTACCTATCTGCTGTAGGCTAGCTAGGGTTCCTTTCTGCTGTAGGATAGCTAGGGTTCCTATCTGCTGTAGCTAGGGTTCCCATCTGCTGTAGCTAGGGTTCCTATCTGCTGTAGGCTAGCTAGGGTTCCTATCTGCTGTAGCTAGGGTTCCTATCTGCTGTAGGCTAGTTAGGGTTCCTATCTGCTGTAGGCTAGCTAGGGTTCCTATCTGCTGTAGCTAGGGATCCTATCTGCTGTAGGCTAGCTAGGGTTCCTATCTGCTGTAGCTAGGGTTCCTATCTGCTTTAGCTAGGGTTCCTATCTGCTGTAGCTAGGGTTCCTATCTGCTGTAGCTAGGGTTCCTATCTGCTGTAGCTAGGGTTCCTATCTGCTGTAGGCTAGCTAGCTAGGGTTCCTATCTGCTGTAGCTAGGGTTCCTATCTGCTTTAGCTAGGGTTCCTATATGCTGTAGGCTAGCTAGGGTTCCTGTCTGCTGTGCGTACAAAATTTGGGTGTTTTTGTGTACTTAGGTAATTTTGGTATCGATGCGTGCGAGGGACTCCGAATATTTTTAAATTTTTATTTACTGCACACAATTGAAAGAATAAAATATTTTTTTTCTTCACTGCCGAGCAGATAAAACATAATTATAAATGGAACGCAGTAAATCCACAAACCTTCAACAGATGATTTGAAAAGTAAATTTTCTACTTCATTTCAATAACTTATAAAAATAAAATATAAAGAGAATTATTTGGAATTATCTGAGGAGTTGTATTTTTCTTCTTTGGTTCAAAAAAGTGAGTAACAAAAGTACACTTGTTTGAAATTCTTACGTATAAGTGGATGGACTTTTTAGGGAAAGTTAAGTTGCAAGACAAAGCTGGGTTCCATATTGATCTATAGTTAGCAATAAGCATCATGCTCACATAAACTTTCCTAGGGTACTGTCCAGTTTTGCCTGATTAAAGTCAGCTTGTATATGTATGTGTATGTATACAGCATGCTCTAGCTCCTTTACAGTCGTCCCTATACATGAAATCAACCGTTGTTAACAGTAAACTAGGTTGATGTGAGAAATCTTCCAGACTTTTGCGGACACTTTTTTTAATGCTTCATTTACAAGTGTTTTAGAAGAAGAATATTAAATATCAAGTATTTTTATTCCTGTAGTTTTCATTTTTAATGTTTAAAGTCAAAGTGTTATTAACTCAGAACTAAAACCATTTTCGTAGTTTTACCGAGTTAACCAACCAACATTTGAGGCGAATCGGTCAAGGAATTCATGAGTTATTAATAAATTAAATGAATTGCAAATGTAATGAATACAAGATTATCAAAATGTTTGTTTTTCTATGAAGGAATCAACCAATGTATTTTTGGAACACAATTCACAAATAAGCAAATTTAAGTCACCCAGCACATTTATTTATAGGAACACATGCAGTCTAATGTATTATGGAACCCTGTCTAATGAATTATGGAACCCTGTCTAATGAATTATGGAACCCTGTCTACTGAATTATGGAACTCTATCTAATGAATTATGGAACACTATCTAATGAATTATGAAACCCTGTCTAATGAATTATGAAACCCTGTCTAATGAATTATGGAACCCTGTCTAATAAATTATGGAACCCTATCTTATGAATTATGGAACCCTGTCTAATGAATTATGGAACCCTGTCTAATAAATTATGAAACCCTGTCTAATGAATTATGGAACCCTGTCTAATGAATCATGGAACCCCATCTAATAATAAAGGAACCCGTTCAATGAATTATGGAACCCTGTCCAATGATTAAAGGAACCTTGTCTAGTGAATAAAGAAACCCTGTTCAATGAATTACAGAACCATGTCTGATAATTAAAGGAACCCTGTCTAATGAATTAAAGGAACCCTGTCTAATGAATTATGGAACCCTGTCTACTGAATTATGGAATCATGTCTAATGAATTATGGAACCTTGTCTAATGAATTATGGAACCCTGTCTAATGAATTATGGAACCCTGTCTACTGAATTATGGAACCCTGTCTAATGAATTATGGAACCCTGTCTAATGAACTATGGAACTCTGTCAAATAAATGAAGGAACCCCTTCTAATGAATTGTGGAACCCTATCAAATAAATTATGAACCTCTGTCTGTAGTAAATGCCTTACTCTTTAAACTTCGTACAGAACTGCATCAATCCAGGCACAATTCATCAGCTATCAATGTCAACACGGACACAAGTTCTTAATCGATCAAAGCCAAACCAATGGGAACGATCTCAGTTTATATGTTTTAACGAGGACTAGCTATCAATACCTTCTTCTCAAATACTTTATTAAACAAAAGGAAACTTATACAATTATAAAATTATAATTATAAAGCTATCATAGCTATAATAGCTATCAATACCAACACGGACACAAGCTGCCCTGTCCGACTAATGAAGAAAACCTATCCGACAAATAAAGAAACCATGTCCTATGGATCAAGGAAACCTGTTCCACGGATAAAGGACTTCGAATAAAGGAACCCTTTCCTTCGGATAAAGGAACCCTCTCCTTCATAGAAAAGGAACCCTGTCCGAGGGATAAAAGACCCTGACCTATGGATAAAGAAACCCTGTCATAAGGATAAAGGAACCCTGTCCTTTGGATAAAGGAGCCCTGTCCTTTGGATAGAGAAACCCTGTCCTTCGGATAAAAGCACCCTGTCTGACGTATAAAGGAACCCTTTCAAGTATCTAAATATAAAACCCAGAGAAACGGCTGGAAATGAAGGATGTCTGTGTATAGTCTAATACCCAGAGCAGCGGATTGGTTGAGCCTGTACGGTTCAGGAGAAGGAGGAGACTGGTTGGACCAGTTGATCTTAGACTCAGGAGAGATTAAGACCAAACCTAACCTTGTAATCTTCCTTACTCAATACTCACACAACAATACGGTATCAACACCATAGTGATATTTAACAAAAATTTTATATCTCGACTCAATGAATGTAAATCCAATGCTAGTTCAGTAATGTAATTTTTTAAACGACGATGCAAAGGAGATAAACAGAATAAGTCTTACCTGATCATCGATAGAAATTATTTATCAATGTATTTCTTCCCTGCAGTTCTGAACGGATAAATTCAGATTAAAATTGTAAAAATCTAAAGCGTCGTCGCAGATTATTTCCTCTTCTTATTATTGTATGACGTATATCTCGGATTCTTCCAATAAATAAATAAGAAAATATTTTTCTCAATTCCGTACAAAAACATTCGACATATTTCTATTTTAACAGGTATAAAAACATATACAATGATTCTCCACTGTAAAGTACATAAAATACCATGTACGTTGTACAATGTACACAAAAGCATATACATATACATACATATATATATATATATAGTATTGAGTATATATATATATACGTATATATATAGAATAGGGGATGCAAGGATTTAAGGCAAGGAAAGTTATTTAAGAGGTGTACGCACCTTTTGTACTGCAGTGTACTGTCACTGGGCGGTAATGTAAACACACAAGACGGATAATCAATGAAATATTCTGATCATAGGAAACTATTATGTGAATTATCAAAATCATCAAAATTAAATGCTTTTAACCTCCTCGGATACTAAACGAACAATGAGGCATTTATTCTTGTTTACAAATTCCACCCAGAGAGAACTGGTTTCAATATGTACGCAGAGTATACGCAACTGCAATTAACTTTCCTTACATTACATTCTTGAGGGGATGTAACTGCAACTGTCTGATGTATGGTAACCTTAATCCATGGTAGAAGTTCTCCCTTATATATGTAAAAGATTCACAATTTTAGATCAATAAGATTGGTTTAAGATGTACAAGGACCTATATGAATGTGCAGTGTCACAGAATTTTTTTACTTTTCACTATCTCTAATTATAGTTATTCTCGAAACAATTTACGTCAAGTTTTTAAGTCGTTTATTTTTGATTTTGTAAAAGTACGTTTCGTTTGTTTCCGATAAAAATTAAGAATATTTTTTTCTGAATCCGCCCTTTCTAGTTTCTATACGCACCTCATATTCTCCCGCTTAACTTTCATGTTTTTATGTTATTATTATTATTATCTACAGGTTTTTGGAGAAAAAATCGGTAGGCGCACTGAAAGCCTATGCATAAATTTACAACAAAGAGGACAAAATAAAATTCCTCTTGTGCAAATTGTATACATATTTAATAAAATTAGCTTTTAAAAATATTATAATGATATTAATATCAAATTTGTTTTAATGTGATGGGAAAATTCAGTTTATTGTTAAAGTTTGTGATTATCTATGATTTTTATGGATTTTAGAGTTATCAAATCTTCCAAATCTAAAATATTGCGATTTGAAAATCAGCCCTGGACTTAATTTCTTTGCATGTACAGGGTATCTAAAAAAAACGGGAATAAGGGTCTACAGACTCGTTTGTAATCGGATTTTCAAGATTGAGACCATTTTTAAATGTAAAGATAATCTCCATTTGCACAATTTTGTATAAGACTCTACAGACTTGCTTGTAATTGGAGATTATCTTTAATTTACTCACTTCAGTTGAAAACTTTAGGAGCCTTTATAATTTTTATTTTTAGATTTACAAGCCTAAAATTGTTCTAATTGAATCGGAAATCTTACGTAGAAATAATGAAATTATGAAAATCCGATTGGATACGAGTCTTCAGACCCTTACTCCCCGTTTTTTAAGATATATATTTATAATCGCGCGATAATAATGTAAAATTATTCAAGGTTAGATTATTGAAAATCACCAAGTAGTTAAACTATGAATAGCTCATTGAACTACTATTTCGTTATATTCATTAATTCTGGCCTCAGAAGAACTCTCTACACGAACTTATTAAAGTTGAGACAATCCTTTATCATTGTAGTATTATACTAAAGCAGATGCTATGTTGTAGAATATACAGCTCAAAAATATTAAACAAAAGGGGAATTAAGTGAGATTAAATGATAAACTTGCTGTAGAAATATTTTCTTTCATATATATATTTACAAATAGCAGAAGGGCCGGGCGTTGCCCGTGGAAATAAAAAAGTTTTAAAAAAATAATTTGAAAAAAAATATTCAACTTTTTTAGCGTATGTCAACCCCAGTATCCAAAACAAATTTCAGCCCTTTCGGTCCTGCCGTTTGGCCGGCCGGAGGGAGCATATTTATGAACGTCTTGTGTATTATTATTACATTATTATTATTCTTATTGTGTATAGATAGAACATACATTGATTTTTTAAAATATCCTAAAAGATTTAAAGAAAACCCCCAAAAGATTTTGATAAATCACCAAATTATTATCCTGAAGAATGCATAGCATGAAACATGATGTTTACATGATAAATAATCCGTAATTATACTAGACCAAGTTAGAAAAAGAGCCAAAGGAATTTAGTCTTTGCCTCAAACTCAAACTTTCTTATTATTATATCTTTGCAACCTAATGGTTCACACTTAGACTTTTTAATCTAACAGAATTCATAAATATATAAAAGGTATAAGACATTGGGTTATAAAGATTTAAGGTTTATAAAAGAATAGTTTGTGTTAAAAACTCAATTCCTTTGATACTAAATTCAATTTCTTGCATTTTCTGTCAAATATTGCACTTTTTTAACGTTTCCCCAGTCTCCTCCTTATTCGTAATAGTAAGGAACTTCAAGTGCTTCCTGATTAAAAGCTCTTATAAGAGCACATGCGTCCATGCATTATCTTTATGTGCCCTTCTTCAGTTTTCTATTAGGAAATCAAGGAGGACGCAAAAACAATGAGAGAATGTATAAAACGATATATGTCCTTGCGGAAGTTTAATTTTTTTTTAATATTTTCCAAATATTTAGATCTAATATGGTATTGGAACCTGGATTAAGTTGGCTAAGGTTAATTATTTGTATTGGATTCTACGTCGGACAGTTCAGCTCCGTATCCTCTCATAGCTCAGAACCAGGACTAAACAATATTCAACCTAACTCAGAGAACAAGCATCCGGTCTTTACAAGGAATATTCATATAAAAAACTAGCTTGGGAATCCAGCTTTGAGTGGAAACTAAATTTTCTTTATAAAAGTCTAGACTCTTATTTGAGAATTTTAAAACCAATCAAGGTTTATTCCCGTATTTTAACGGGTTCACTGTCACATTCAAAATTTGAGGCAAATCTGTATGATCGGACTGGGTTCCTAGATTAGGAAGCCTGAATTGTCTGAAATGATAGTCAACCCATTAAACCTAGAATTTTTAAACCAAGCTAAGGGCATTCTTGCACGGATCTAATGAGTGTCCCAATCAAAATTTGAGGCAAAACGGTCGAGGGTTTTTTCCCCCAAATATATGCTCTCAAAATCAGAATCTAATCAGTCTTACCCTACAGGATATTTTTTCTAAAACATTGTTTTTTTTGGGTTTAATTGCATCTAGAAGCATTTTATAACAACATTAAAGAAATCTGGATGAATTATAAATATGCTGTTTAGTTTTTTCTTAACTTTGTATACTGCCAGTATATTTTATTCATTCCAAAACATCTTAAGTTTATTAATATTTCGGTTACAACATTTATTTTTCATCAAACCACCCACGGGGAACTGAAGTTCCTGGTAAGAAGTACAAAAATCTTAATTTTAGAACCCATTTTCACCATTAAAATATAGATTTTTCGTATTTGCTGTTTTATATTATGTATTTTAAATAATTAAATATAAAATCTCTTTTTAACAGATTTTGAATGAGAGATTAAACTATGACTAAAAATATTCCAATACAGACAGTTAGCACTTTGTTGTAGTAAGTTGTACATTCACCGATAATATTTAAACACCAACATGTTTTTTGTTCGTTATATTCCAGCATATTTTGGAAACCACCATGGGAAGATTTCATGCCTTATATGATAATCTGGTAGTGATGATATGCTTGAAGTTCCGGCAGAAAAGGGAGAGGTTTCCTTCCCTACTCCGGCAGTACCCGGAGAAAAGGCGGAACCTGATGAGGAACCAACCAGGGTTACAGAGTTCTACTCAGCTTATATCAATGTTAGTTATATCCAGCAGAACCAACAGCTTCTGCACACTGAAAGGTAAAAACTTTAAAACTTTTTAAAAATATTTTTGTTTACTAATTTTTGCAAAATTTAAAAAATCAATGATTTAGAAAACAAGGAAAAGAAATGTTAGAAGTGCCGCAATATATAGTTAGGTATTATTTATATATTTTACTAAAACCCTGATTACCAATGGACAAAGAACGATGGTCTGGAATGTGGAATCGATTATACATATTTGAAGATCTAAAATCTAAATTGAATTCTTCAATTCTGCGAAGAAAGAATTTTTAATCTAACAAGAAATTTGAGAGTTTAATCTTTATAAATTGTAAACATTTTCTTCTCTCTAAATCTGTCTTCGGATACAAACTACAGTAAACCCCAAATTAAGGCAATTTCTTTTTATTTGATTTTTAAAATACATACTGTGGAGATTATTCTACCTTGCCAATCTTTTATTTAAACCAAATAATAAGGAATTTGAAAAACGCACTATTTTTCCTAAATTCCGTGTGAGTTTTCCTAGTGCATTGTTAAACTGGTCAATAGTATAGCGTAGACCTGGAGTAAATCTATAACCCAGGATTTTCAACCATATGGTGAACCAGGAAGTGTGAGATATTCTACATATCCTAGTTCCTCAATGCCCCCACATTCCCTGAGACAATTAATTACTAAATAATCTGGAGCTAGAAAATATATCTAAATAAATTTAAAAAAAAAAACGATTACCTTATGTAACATTTTAGGTTTATTAATTTAAAATAATAAGAATTGAATCTGTGTCACAAACTCAAACTTTCTTATCCCCATTATCTTTCAAAATTACATTATTTGATCTAGCAGCCATCATAGTTCGAAATATCAAGGTCTACGACATTAGGATGCAAAGGTATAGGGATTAGAAAATGAGAGTTTGTGGCAAAGACTCAATTCCTTTAACCTAAATATAGCGCATAGAACTGAAAACTTACGAATACACTTAACTGATCTAATCCGTCAGTTAGTCATTTTACCTCGTGTCTAGTTTAACTGAACCAAACTAAGAGATTAGTTTTACTTCCCACAAACTGAATTTAATCTCAACTCTTTCGATTCGATTCAATTGAATTTTCTTAATTAAAAGTTCTCAGCTCATGTTCTGTTCCGCGAAAACTGACAGTAAAGGGAATTATAATAACTCTTCAAAAGTTCAGTTTAATGAGATTAATATTTGAATTAGTTATGTGAAATAGATTTTTGAAATTCTGAAAATTATTCTTAACATTTTGTCAAATTATTGAAATCTTTTTTGAGAACTTTTTTTGTCAAACACCCCCGTCACCCCCCCCCCCCTGCTCCCCTAGTGTGATTATTTTATGTTTTATATTAATAACCATTAAAGGATTTGAGTCTTTGCCCCAAACTATGATTTCCAAATATCTATATCTTTTAGACTCTATGTCGTAGACCTTGAATATGTTAAACTATGAATTCTTTTAGATGAAATAATTTAAGTTTGAAATACCAAGTGTTTACACCATCAGGTTTACAAGATATAGGGATTATAAAATTTGAATTTGTGGCAAAGACTCAATTCCTTTAGTGCTTACTCAGAGACGGCACTGAAGTCTTTTTCCCATACATCCTTGGTTCACAGTCGCAGTAGTTGTGTACTTGTGTTTCTTTCTTTAAAAAATCATTTGGTTTATTATCTTCAGACTATTCTTGTTAGAAGAAAATATTCACCCTCCATGTAAAAATGTTAATGCCCGATTCTCTATATATATTATTCCCTGGTACCCTCACAAGCTTGAATTATAAATGTTTATAGTTTTTAAAAACTGATTAATAAATTGACTTATCATCAGTAAACACTATTAAACCTAGAAAAACAGCAATATCTTTAATATTATTGAATAGATATAGGTTTTAAGGTAACCGCTGTGAATCTTACCATCATGCTTTGTGAGTTAACCCTGCATATTATTAGGAAGGAGGTTGGAAGGTTTAGTAGTGGTGGAGCTCAATATGCTGCCGGAGTAGCAACTAAACTTCAATCTAAGGTGATATACTGGGAATTCCGTTGTGCGGAGTTGTGCGGAATTCCGTTGCGCGTAATTGTGCGGAATTGCGCGGAAATTACAGGGTTCACAATTGTAAGCAAGTAAAATCCACTTGTGTTGTGTTGGAAACCCTTATTGTAACATGGTAACAATTGTAACTTGGTAACAATTGTAAACTTGTAACATGGTAACAACTCTAACATGGTAATAATTGTAGCATAGTAATAATTGTAACATGGTAACAATTGTAGCATGGTAACATTGTAAAATTTGAACATGATAACAATTAATTGCAATATTGGAACACTGTGTAACGTTGTCGCGAAAAAAATCTTTGATGTTGGATTTTTCTAGTTTATATCGACAATTGACATTTAATGTCGTTAATAATGTTTTTTAAAAAACCGGAGTTTCCATGATAAAGCGATCTAATAAAACTGAATATAACCATTCCTAAGTCCGAATTTAATGATTTTGAGCCGCGTCTAAAATCTTCCAAAAACCGGTTTCAATTGAACGCCGGCTAAAATCTTAAAAAATTGTATACAATTTTAAGTGGAACCAACCATATTTGAGCCGCGTCTCAAATTTAAGCCGCTGCTAAAATTCTTTACATTTCAATTTTAATTTTAGAATGTGAACCAAAGTATTGCTGACTACGGTTGTACCCAACCCTTAGCCTACAACATCTCACAAGAAGGGGTAGGAACAATTAATTAATTTTATACATGACTATACCGACTTCCGCTGGGTCTAACAGTAAATTTTGTCAATAAACCTTGTCAATATCTAGTAATACTGATATCCATTCCGTTGTTTCGATTTTGGATCTTTTTTCCCTATATTTCGTTTCAAGGTCCAAATTTGGCATTATAAAACAAAAGCAATAGTTTTCAAAATTGTTCTTACATTATAACAACTTTTGACCCTAACAAAAAAAGTCAAAAAAGAACCAAAAACGACACAAAGTCGAACTTAAGACAGTTTTGAAATCTATAAAGTTTTATTTAAAGTTTTTAAAAAACGATCCAAAGCAATTAACAAAACTATCTTTTTCTTTATAAACCATGTCTATATCTACTCTAGGTCCCTATTATTGCTATTATAAACCATGTCTATATCTAGGTCCCTATTATTGATATTATAAACCATATCTATATCTACTCTAGGTCCCTATNCTCTGCACTTTTGATGTAAAGGTAGGAAGGATTGAGCTATCTCCATCAACTCTGAAATTAATAATTTTAAAAATGATGATTAATGATAATAAATTTTGTTGTAAGGACGTCCATTGTTTTTTTTAAAGACTTCAAAATTAAGAACTATTGTTAAGCATATTAAAAATGTTCAGAAATATTTTCTAAAAATTCAATTTTATTAAAAATTTTCAGGAACTCCGATTTCTATAGAAAAGAATTTTGAAGATCCTCACTTACTTTGTTCTAAACTTATTTCTTTAAAAAACAACATAATTCATCAACTTTGAAATGACTGTAAGCTAACTTTAAAGTGACCCTCCATGCAAAGAGTGGAATGCCCGTACTTTACAGTACTTTAAACCTTTCCTAATCATCAAGGATAGAGAACTTAGTGTGTTCATTTCTAAAACGGTGTTTAATGGCAGAACAAAATTATCGAAGATCCCGAATATGTTTTTCCCTATACATTAGGGTTTCGAAAATTTCAATGTAAATATTTATTTCTTACATTTATATTTCTTAAATATAAAACATCTTGCAAACCAGTTTAATGTTCAAAGGGTACTGTTGTGAATAGGAAACGCCACTCTAAAAACAGAGGTTCACTTGTAATTCAGTTCACATGGTCCCTTTAATGAACCAACAAGTTACTATCTACTATGCGTCCCACACCTACAATTCAGTACAATACATTCATAGGAAAAAATCAAGTAAACATTCTTCTTAAAAGTGAAAACAGACCTCAAGTTAATAGAGGATGATTTGTAATCGCGGTTTTCGTTATCGTATTTCCGTGTTCCAATTGACAATGACAGAAGCACTATATGCATATTAACGACAATGGTCGTAGTATATATCAATACACTGAAGACAACTTTCTGTCGTCTTCATTGTATTGATATAAACGCTGACTACTGTATCGTACATGGTTGTTTTTACATTGTCATGTTTACTGGGACACACTGTACAATCGAACAATAACTAAACTACTGATAAACTAGGTTGCCAATGCTGCCTCTATGGGAGCTGCTGGAGTACTAATCTACGATAATACAATGACTAAACTACTGATAAATTAGGTTGCCAATGCTGCCTCTATGCGAGCTGCTGAAGTACTAATCTACGATAATACAATGACTAAACTACTTATAAACAAGGTTGCCAATGCTGCCTCTATGGGAGCTGCTGGAGTACTAATCTACAATAATACAATGACTAAACTACTGATAAACTAGGTTGCCAATGCAGCCTCTATGGGAGCTGCTGGAGTACTAATCTACGATAATATTGATGAAAACAGGCTGAAGACAATTCAGGTATCATTATTCAGAGTTTATGATTAATAATTATTTTCTTTAAAACTTTTAAAAAATGAATTGAGTCTTTGTCACAAGAACAAATTTTCTAATCCCTAAATCTTAACAACCTGATTGTGTTAATGATATTTAAATCTAAATTATTGAAAATTCTACGGTTTAAAGGGTATCGATGAGAATTAGGGTTTAAAGGGTACCCTTGGGAATCCGGAATGTCTCTCTTTGAATTGAAGGTCATTTGAAATCATGCTTAAAGTGTATTCCTGGTTTAGGTGAGTTCTGATAGTTTACCAACTGTATTTACCTACAACTGGAAGGGTCTAGAGATAATAAATCAGCTGGATCTAGGGGTTCGTCTTTACATCGCTTTAGAGGAGGGATCCCACTGTAAAATACAGGTTAGAGTCATTAGAGTCTTTACTCTTCATTGGGGAGTGAAAGTGAGTTTTTGCTAAAAATTAAATTGTCTTGTCTTTGCAACCTGATGGTTTAAACCTTTGATATTTCAAACTTAGATTATTTGATCCAACAGAATTCATAATTTGATAATCAAAGGTAATCTCTAATTGTATCTTCAAATCCTTTTTAAATCCTCCCTTGCACACTGACCATTAAAGTTAGAGTTATTTTTTTAATTAGCAGGCCTTGAAAAATTGTACTTCCCTATCTCAACCCTAAGGGCAAAATCTTAGGGGGGTGAGTAAACACCCCCCGGCCCCCACCATCCATATTAGACAAAAATAGCTCATTCGGGAGAGAGTAAAAGGATTCTCAACACTATTTCCGTTTTACTTTTACAAAATAATATCTTTTTCGTCATTATTTTCAAAATTTGATAAATATATATTTTGAAGGGTAAGGGTAAGGATCTACTGTGCACTAAAGGAAAGGATTGGAATCCAATTGAGAATGTTTACAATCATGCAGGTATAATGTATAATAAAAACAACGCATTTTTATATTAAAACATGTGCGTTAGATGCATGCAAGTTTTAATTTTAATATTTTTTTTAGTTCATTGATATCATCTAGATATTTTTTTATTATGAAGTTTTTCAATTATAAACTTGCGTGTTAAGATAATGCATAATATGTTTTTTTTTTTCGATTTTTTATTGTATTTTCTTTCTTAAAAATGACTTTTGTAGTTTACTTAATTAAACTATATATTTTTAGTAAGAATTATGCAGGTTTCAATATTCTTTAATATTTTTGAAAAAAATTTTTTTTTGTACTTTGTGTTTGGAGAGGGGAGGAGAGTGTTTGGGGTGGGGGTGAGACCAGTTCTCGTTAGATCACTGAAGTTAAGCATACTTGTCCACAACTAGCAACAGGATTGGTGTCCAGAATGATGTTCACGGGTTCGATTCCCGTGCTCCACACAAATCTGTGGTTTCAAAAACATCTAAAGTCAAAATTTGGTTCAGCAGTTATGACCACCTGACAGATGTAGGAGGACAGAGGGGCGGCTGTCAACAACTCTTGCTGTGAAAGGGTGCATGCTTTCTACTCAACAAGAAAGAAGCTTTATATGGATTGATCCAAGTGATGATAAAGAGAGGAATGGTGGACAAGCAGGAGAGTCTATGGTGGCCAACCTTGGGATATCCAATCCGGGCTTACAAACGATATGGTGTGATGTTTCCTGTCTTTATTGCACCCGGGCCTCATTCCAGTATGTTAAAAGAATTCCTTAGGATCAATACCTTAGGATGCCTTGTCATGACCATCTACTCCACCAGGCTACCAGGAGTATATATCTACTCCACCAGGCTACCAGGAGTATATATCTACTCCACCAGGCTACCAGAAGTATATATCTACTCCACCAGGCTACCAGGAGTATATATCTACTCCACCAGGCTACCAGAAGTATATATCTACTCCACCAGGCTACCAGGAGTATATATCTATTCCACCAGGCTACCAAGTATATATCTACTCCACCAGGCTACCAGGAGTATATATCTACTCCACCAGGCTACCAGGAGTATATATCTATATTGATCCTCAAGCATGTATGCTTGCTCCCGTGGAAGCCATCAGCCTCAGAAAAAGCCAAGATTTGCTCCCCGCCCTTGCCTATATGGCTCACCACAATGCTGAAGAAATTAGGGGTGTAAGACTAGAATAAGATGTAGGGAGTTGTAAAATGTGGTTAATAATAAGAAATAACAGAGATTATTTAAATCCTGTGAAACGTAAGCCTGGATTGTTTGTGAGGAGGACAGGATGTGCGATTTTTGAGTTATATGATAGAGTTATATGATAGAGTCTCAAAAGTAACTGAAGATGTCATCAGGACATTGTATATCCCTGACAAACTCAAGGACTGGGAGGATTTAAACAGCTTTCCAGCTTATATGAAATCCTCCCATCAAAAACTCCTTAATAGTTTTTGTATCGTGGAGTCTTGTGGATTCTGTTATATCGTTTAACTGCCGCGATAGCTGGGTTTATCAATCGTGTAACTCCGGACTGGAGCCGTGTGAAGAATTGAAAGAAAGCCTGATGCTGAAAATAGGGATAGATAACCCAATTGTTCAGCACCTCCCCCATTTGTAATAAATACAGTAATAACCATAAATCCTGTGTCTTGTTTATAAATCTTTGTTCGTTAATCCATGTAGAGACCTAGTGGTCAGTTTTATTTTACCGGCACAATTTAGACCCAAAATATATCGACTCTGCTTATTGACGGACAGAAGTATGAGTTCTCGGTAGAGAGTATAGAATTTAATAGAGTTGTTAGTGGATCGAACCACACTTAAAGAGATATTGGAATATAGCATTTATTACATACAGGTTTCAATATTCTTTAATATTTCTTTTTTAGATATATGTTATTTAGATATTTCTGTATTTAGGTTTTCTGTTATAAACATTAAACATGCGTGTTAGAAGTAGGTTTTAAAAAAAGTTTAATTTTTTAAAATTTCTTTATTTTTTTGTCATTGTACTTTATTGATTGTCATGCAGATATTAAAAAAAATTATTATTAAAAACATTAAACATGCTCATTAAGATTATTTTTGTTTTTCTGCTGATAGCTAGCTGCGTTGTAGTTATTTACAAGCCCAACTATTCAATGTTTTTTTCATGAAAGAAAATGATTATATTTTTGGAAAACAGTTTTCAGATAAAATTATTCTTTTCTAGTTTCTTGTTCCTATTAGAACAATATTTTCCGTAGGTTTTCACTTCTAAGGATTGTGGCCATTGTACTTTTTACATGTTTCCTTACAAAACGTTTAAAGAATAAAAGTTGCTTTGAAGGAAAAAGCTTTTCATTTTATGGTTTATTATTTCTAGATCCGTTTGATAAAAAGAATAACAGAACTCCTGTTGAAGTTAAAACATCAGGTTAGAATTAAAGAAAATAAAGACGTAATTTTACCTGTCTGATTCACAATGGTACCCTTAATCCTTGTTGTTCTGATTTTTATATTATATCTATATATAAAGATTTATTATATAAAGATTTATTCCCACACAAAGATATAAATACATATATAAATGGTGTAGTTAAAATTTGTTTAAATAAATTTTTTTTTGAAAATACAGGTTTCCAAAAGAAAAGAGAAAAAATATGCAAAATTATGCACAAATAGAAAACATTGATTTTTACTCACTACATAACATATTTATCATTTCAGTTATTACGTAATCATCGAATCCTTCAACATATAAATTATTCATTCTTGTACTTAAAAGTTCTTGTAAAACCGGAACTTTCCATTCATGTTCCAATGGGACATCAAAATATTTCATTTGTTTCTAAACTAACATTTTACTAAGATCGGAAGGATTTACAGAACAATCATTTGCAATACAAAATAAATTTCTGCCAAGAACTGTGTTTAGGTAATTTTTACATATATTAGAAAGAAACCTAATGCAAAGCTTAGAACTTGCTTCAATAGTCTCATAGAAAGACACACATCTGCTAGCTAACATAGTTTTTACATGTAAACATTGTGAAATACTTTCAATCAAGTACCTATGCGTATCTCTAGGTACATTAAAAAGAATTCTAATAGCAGTATTCCATGCTGTATACAATTTTGAAACACATTGGGAACTCAAGTCCCAAATACTAGATCCATAAAAACTACAACAGTAAATATTATACAGTTTCAAAATAACATCAGGACTGTTAAAATAAAATAAAATTCTTGGTTATTGTTCTGTTATTTGTGACACACACCCCTGCCCCTTTAGTAAAAGTAAATTCAACATAAATGAAGCATAAAGTCTGACCGCGTCAACCTTGGTGCACCAGCTAGTCCTGTTGATTGTCTGCTTTATTAACCCAATGTCCGTGCGGTATAGTACAAACTGGGGCCAGAAAGGTTGACCCAGCTTGGAAATTCAAATGTACTACCGCTGCCCGTGGTGAATGCATCAAAGTAAAGAGAAAGAAGGTTATCGTTACTCAAGTAAAGGTTATAGGGCACCATTGTGAATCGATTCTGTGACGTAAAAATGGAGAATCACATGAAATTAGGAAAAAAGTATCTTTACTGAATGAATTATTCCATTGTTCATTTAAATTCGTCTAATTTTTCTTCCTGATATTGATCATGATCTTTATGATTTGTTTAGTTATGTTCGTGTCATCTTACTTCCTGATATTGATCATGATATTATGATTTGTTTAGTTATGTTCGTCTCATTTTCCTTCCTGATATTGATCATGATATTTATGATTTGTTAAATTATGTTCGTCTCATTTTCCTTCTTAATATTGATCATGATCTTTATGATTTGTTAAATTATGATCGTCTCATTTTCCTTTCTGATATAGATCATAGTTTTTATGATTTGTTTAGTTATGTTCGTCTCATTTTCCTTCCTGATATTGATCATGATATTTATGATTTGTTTAGTTATGTTCGTCTCATTTTCCTTCCTTATATTGATCATGATCTCTATGGTTTGGCTTCTTCTCTACTATGTTCAGAGGTTTCGGTTCATCCATAGCAAGGTAAGAATACACGAATAAAAGAGATATTAAGTCTAAGTTCAAAGGGAGAAAACAACTAGACATGGTTAAGCTGAGAGTGCAGTGTTATAGTGTTGTTTTAGGATTCATTTGAGACCTACACGGACACCAACTACCATGTCCAGTCGGTATCTCCCTTTAAGTGGATTGTTTACCAATTCAAATTACACATAATATTCTAATTGTTTAATTTAGGGTCACAACTTAGTTTACATAAGCGCTCAAAGATGTTCATGAGAGTCAGAATGTCCAAACCACTATTTCTAGTATGCAATCTAAAACCCACAGTTTTATAGTGAACTCTTTCTTGAGAGTTTTGACATTATGGTTTACAGGAACACGTTTGAGGAGTAAGATAGGCTTAGTTTAGATCTTAAATTCAAAACATTTGATTATTTTTTGTTTCTCTAAAAAAAAGTAGAAACCAATTGTGAATCTATAAAAAGTTTCTAACTTAATTATTTCCTTGATTACAAACTGTTTAATCAGACAGATAAATAATCCATCTCTAAACATCGACATTAAATACACTTATATAGAGCTTATTAGCCGTTACAACGTTAATTGAAAATCAATTTAAAAATTCTTTTCAAAAATATTTTGATGTTACAAAAATAAAATTATGATAACAATCATAATTGTTAAAAAAATTACTTGATGGTTCTCTGATTTAATGTTAACTTAATGTGAATTTGATAAGGTGTATATATTCTAACAGAAAAAGTAACCCTGAAAAATGTATTTTGTTGGAGAGTCATTTGAAATTAATGTTGATACATTCCAATATTTAAAATCTAAGTGTTCAATCTTACCAAATCTGTCGTCTTTGTAAAAAGGACAGAGATCAGGGACAGAAGTGATTCGGTGTTATAGGTACAGATCCAGGGGCGGAAACTTCATGTGTGTGTGTCTGTACCAAAAGAGTGTGTGTTAGTTTAAAGTACCAAAGGTGTGTACTGTAGGTTTATACAGTACGTATGAATCTCGGTATTTGTACAGTCTAGGAGAGTACATTTGTTTATTGTTAATTGTTTACTTAAAAATAAGTTTAATATACATGTAGCATATTATTTACATATTTAAGTCAACGCTATAAAGCCAAATGTTCATGCAAAGAATATAACTTGATTAAAGTTTACAACAAATATAGTCGTTTTTCAAGTTTAATTATAATTGACAACATTGTCCTGCAATTTCCTTGACTGTAATCATGTTGTGTGTCTGTACCAAAAGAGTGTGTGTCAGTTTAAATTACTAGTCTGCAAAACAGTGCGACTGGCTTTCTCATGCCAGACCAGCGCCATTTCCTTTCCCTTTATTCCTATTCCCTGTATAGATCATGTAGTGACATACAGTACATAGGAAAAATACGGGTTGCGGCATCTGTATATATCCAGTTTACACAGATCCGGGATATGTAAACAGTAGACAGTAAATTTTAAACATCAGCATTAGATATTGCTCTGTGGTGAATTGTAAAACAAATGGTTCCAATGTTGATATGAGAATCCATACTTTTCATGCAGATTGGAAATCTTTGAGCTGTTGGAAAAATATTCCAACCTTTATCTGCTCCTGTTATTTTACCCAACATTCTTACATTCTTACAGCAAATCAAAGAAGGAATTAAAGAAATCCGCTAAACCCACATTGTTTTTGCCAAGACCAACCTCAGTTACCTCGACACAGATCCTGGGAGAACATAATTGTACATTCCCGATATTAACGTGTTGAGTAGTGACATATACCAGATTTCAATGAAAAATTAATATTTGTAATCTCAATTAAAATAATTTATCAAAATGGTCTGTAGTCTGATCAGGGTATGAGGGGGGGGTGAACTTGTGAAGAAATATATTAAGGGGGAGNGTCCTTTTACAAGCTTTACAAAGTTTCTTTTTACATTATCTTTACAAAATATGCTTTTGGTTTTAAGCAATTAACTTTCCTTGCATTACAACCTTGTCCCGCATCCCCGCAAACTGCATGTACAGATTAAACCGTATTGCTTGACCTATTGGATAGAATCAGTGGACCTAGTACAATTCCTAGTGTACACCACGTACATTACCAATCTATAAACTGTTTTAGCCAAATAGATTATCAATAGGTGGCAACCGAGAAATAAACCATCTATACAGAACATCACAAGCAAGGTTGTAATGCAAGGAAAGTTAATTGCTGTCGCGTATACTCTGCGTACATATTGTAACCAGTTCTCTCTGGGCGGAGTTTGTAAACAAGAATAGATGAATCAGTGTTCGTTTAGTATCCGAGGAGGTTGAAAGCATTATTTTTTGATAATTTTGAATTCACATAATAGTTTCCTATGACCAGAATATTTCATTGATTTTTTTATGTGAAAGATGGATCCCATGTCAGGCTTCAAGATCTGTCTTGTGTTTACATTACCGCCCAGAGACAGTACACTGCAGTACATAAGTTGCGTACACTTCTGAAATAACTTTCCTTGCATTACATCCTTGATCACATAGTGTCAGCTATAACAAGGAAAACGAAATTTTCTCACATTATTTGACATGTTTTCCAAGATTGAATAAAAAAGTGTAAAAACAGAAAATAAAGAACACATAATATTGCACTTATTTCACTGTATGAAAAGCACTTTATTCTAAAATGATCACTAATTACTAATTTTGTCGGACACAAAAACTGAATTGACACTTGTGACGTTAGAATACAGCTGTACGGAGAGCGTACAAATTCTACGTTGCTATCTATTGTACTGGAATCTATTTGGTTTTAGCTGTGTTTCTTACCTATAAAATATGAAATGCCATTCTAAAGTAAGGATTTATAATCCATCTTACTTAAAGATAGAGAAAGACGGCTCTTTTAGACTCAAGTTTTAATTTTTAAATAGTCAATTGAACACAAAAACACGGCGACATTAGTTTGCACAGATCCATTTATTTATTAATTTGGTTTTCAAGCAATTGGTAAAATTTTTGATTTATAAAAAGATCAAATACAGATAGTAGTGCTTAAATGTTGTCAATTCCCCTTCTACAGTTTTATTTATCCTACACTGGGAAGTTTTCTGAGTGTAAACAGATAGTCTTATCATGGACCTCAGCTGGAATTTCTTGTGTTGGATACTTAAACCCTGATCGCTTGATCTTGATATCAATTTTGAGCAGTTTTAATCTGAGGATTAATGTTTAATCTAAGTTTTTCTTTCATGGTACGATTACCATGCGGGATATCGAATAAAGATTAAATTAATTCTCAGATTAGCAAAAGGTCAAACATTAACCTTGATATACACAATACAAGACTTAGATTAGCGGAATTCAATGAAAATTGTGGCATGAAAAAAAATAATAATAATTTGCTACTTGTAGGAGGAGATGGAGAGAAGGATGGGACAGCAAGCTAAGGAAGCGTTGAACTGTGTAGCTCTCCATGTAGTTGCAGAAGATGATCGAGAACGTGAATGCTCTGTTTGCCTGGATACTCTCAATGTCGGCGATGAAGTCAGAAGCCTACCCTGTGCGCATCTGTTTCACCGCGCATGCGTGGATAACTGGTTGCTTTCCAAGCGCAAATGCCCGCTGTGCAATCTTAATATCGTCAGACATTTTGGACTTCTTGGTCTCGACGACAGCCAGGACAGCCAGGACAGTCAGGACAGTGAGAGCCAGGGAGTTGTTTATACATCTGTCTAATCTCATTTACAGTGTCAGCTTCAGCTTTAATATCGTCATATATTCGTCCAATTGACCATCCTTGCCATCTTCAATATTACTATATAGAAATAAACTTCGTATGGAGCATCAGTTATTAAAGCATGATGAGAAATTAGACTTTTCCCACAGAATTTAAACTATTTACCAATACCCCACCCCCTTCTTAATAATTTTTTTGTTGGGGAGGGGGGGGGGGGTGTAAGAATTTGGTATCATGATATATTTTTGCATCCGCCTAGATTAAATCAATTTTACGCTCTTGATTGCAGAATGTAAACGCCAAGTTTGAATATTAAAACCAATAATGTTTCAAACTAAAACAAAATAAAAACAAAATATATAATGGTTGAGTTTAAATGGCCAGGTAAAGTCCGGACATGCTTATGTATGCTTAGCGAAGTGTTAAAAAAAAAACAATCTTTCTGAGCTTATCAATTTTTGCGTCTTTGATAGTGATCGTTTTTCATCTCAAATTTCATATTTTTATAAAATGTATTTTCCAAAAGTCTATTGAAAAAAAACATCCATTTTTTCGATTTCAATTCGGCTCTTTAAAAAAAATGAAGAAATAACCTTGATAAAATAATTTTTTTTTATCTTTGTTTAATCTAATCTAATCTTTATTGCTGTTGTTTATCATGTGGTATCGATATTGTAAAAAATAGTCATAGAAATAACACATTTTTTCGATAATTTTTTATGATCTATATTTATTTTACTATTATACAATTCTAGTCTTCAAAAGCTTTAAAAATACTTTTTAGGTTTCATGCCAAACTGAAATTATATGTTTTTAAAATCAGATTTTAATATTTATTAGATTGTGTTTTTATGCCCTTGAATAATTATGGACAATTATTATATATATATGTATCAAATTTATGTTTTGTGTTTTCATTAAAAATTGTAATATGGCTGTGAACTACATGTTTAATGTACATAATATAAGATTAAATCTGAGTTCAATCAAAATGTTTTTAAAGCTTATTATCAAAATCCCTGTCTAAAATTGGGATCATGTTGGTTAAAATTAAAAAATCTTTTTCATTTCTTTAAAATAGATAATCTTAATGTATTGTTCGGTCCGTACATTAAGTTATGACATAAACCATTTCACGGGCATTTCAAAGCTTCGTTATTTTGTTAATGCTTAGCCGAGTAAGAATGTTTTTCGTATTACATGTTTTTTCCTGTGCTTTTGTCGTTTATACTAAATAAAAAGAATGTATACAATTTTTTTAATGCATTTTTTCTATCAATATTTTTATGTTTTTATTTTTAATCTCTCAAATTGCTTGGAAGATTTTCAAATCTTTTACAGGGGTATACTACATGATATATTGCACTTTGGCGTAGCAGACCATTACTTTTATTTAAGTCTTGATTTGTTTAGAAAAATAACCAAAGAATAATTATTTTATCGCCATTTTCTCTGCAGGCTTTCAGAAAATCAAAATATATATTTTTTTCTTCAGTGTACACAAAACCAACAGATGAACACTATTTGGGGCACTTTTCACATTTTATTATACTCTTCAGTACATTCCTGCATAAACATGTATATATATATATATATATATATACATATATATATATATATATTTTGTACCTGTTTGTTTGTTTGGTTGTCTGTTTGTAACCAACAAACGTCAAAGCGGCTAAGCCGACCCGGCCCAATTTTTTGTGAGACTTTAAAATACCACAGAAAGATCTATTGAAGCATCTATATTAGAAAAAATTAGCACAATCGGAATAAGGTTAATCAGGTTTGTTCCAACTCACCCTAAACTGCCCTAAACGTACATTATTGTACAAAGCCAATAAAATCTGAGATAACAGAGCAATATTTCTTTGTTTTTTAAACGATTAGGAGAAAACTGAGTAATAATTGATACAAAACCTCCATAGAAGGCGTTCCATGCATATTTGATGTTTGAACTGTATGTATGATACTCTCCATACATCAGTTAACTGTCTTAAGTGTACACTCAAGCTGAATAGCAGGGAATGTAGTTAACTACCAACCCCCTCTGTATGTACCCCTGTATATCCAGGTATAGTATATATCCTTGTATATCCAGGTATGCTAAATATATCCTTGTATATCCAGGTATGCTATATATCCCTGTATATCCAGGTTTACTATATATCCCTGTATATCTAGGTATATATATTCCTGTATATCCTGAGCTGAAAACTTAAGAATGATGTATTTCAAACTCCTGGTTTTACTAAACCCGAGATTATTTTAATACACATTCGATATCCAAGAAAGAAGTTTGAAATTCAACCAATCAGCTTGTCATGTTAAGATGTACTCTTTAACTGGTTTTATTTCTGGTGTTGATGGTGTCATATCAATTGAACCAACGTTATAAGTTTTGGATTAATGTTTTTAAAGATTAACGTTTAAAATTACAATGGTCCTAAAATGTAATAAATATCTTTTTTATAAGTTCATATTAACATGGTAAAATTTATATTTGTTTAAATGCTCTAAAAGCCGGCTTGTAAACAGCTGACTTTAATTCAATCGGATATTAGTCCAAATGATATAGCGTTGTATCTGAAATTATGATCAAACGTAACTTTATACAGTAGGGATATCCAAAAAAGAGGATTATACTATATATCTCTGTATATCCAGGTATGTTGAATATATCCCTGTATATCCAGGTATATACTATATATCCCTGTATATCCAGGTATAGTATATATCCCTGTATATCCAGGTATACTATATATTCCTGTATATCCAGGTATATTATATATCCCTGTATATCCAGGTATGCTAAATATTTCCTTGTATATCCAGGTATACTATACATCCCTGTATATCCAGGTATGCTAAATATATCCTTGTATATCCAGTTATACTATATATCCCTGTATATCCAGGTATTCTATATCCCTGTATATCCAGGTATCCCAGTATATCCAGGTATACTATATATCCCTGTATATCCAGGTATGCTAAATATATCCTTCTATATCAAGGTATACTANCGACAAATTATGTTTTATGAAATCATGTTTTTATCGCATTATTTTCCAATTTTGCTTTAGCTTTTGTTTTTGTATTTTGAAATATTTGATTTTGAAGAAAATATTGGGTGTTTTTACACGCTTCGGAGAAACTTTAAAGCTAGATGGTCAACCTACACAGGTGGCAGCACATACCCTTTTCAGGTAGTATAGGGGGGTACATACCCTTTTCAGGTAGTATAGGGGGGCACATACCCTGGGGTCGGGCAGCTATCCTTTTTAGGTAGTATAGGGGGGGTACATACCCTTTTAAGGTAGTATAGAGGGGGGATCAGGCAGCACATACTTTTGGCTTTGCTTGGCTTGGCAGCACATACTTTGTTTTTTTACAAATCTCTCTTTATTTCAACTCTTGGCAGCGCTTGGCTTCCATTGCAGCGCGCAGTGCCTAAGAAGGCCTAACCTAGACCTTGGGAAGTTGCCGATTGGGAAATTGTAACTTGAAAAGTCACCTTTGAAAAATATACTTTTGGGTAAATACCTAACACCAGAAAGAGAGCGGGGTGGGGTACTACCCTTTGAGGGATATGCAATATGTGGCAAAAGTGCAAACATAATTTTTTTTGCTGATTTCAGCAAGTTTTTTTATGAAAACTGACGAGAGAAGCAACTCTTCAAAATTATGCAAATTACTGATAAAACTGTTTATGGCAAAAAATAAATGATGAGAAAAATATGAAAATACACTCTCATTACCACCATACAGACTGCGTTTATTCAATGTACTCAGAGGTTTAAGTTTTTTACCTTACATTTAAAATACGTCATATGTATTGTATGATGATAATGACAAGGATAAAAATGTGTTTTTCTCCTTCTTATCTTCCTTAAAAAGACACAGTTCGGACCTAGTTTTACAATTATGCTTAACCATTGATTCCTTCTTGCCGAAAAGATATCCTCGCATAGCATAACAATTAATAATAATTATTTAAAAATTCCTAATAAACCATAAGATTTACTAACTGCTCATCGTGTAAAATTTTATAACAGAGCATAAGATTTAATAAGAATGAATAAAAATCCTAACAAAGCATAAAATTTCCTAACTGCTCAACTGCTCAGAGCGTAAAATTTCCTAAAAGAGCAAAGTATTTAATACTATTAATAGATTAAGAATTCCTAACAAAGCATAAGATTTCCTAACTGCTCAAGTGCTCAGCACGTAAAATTTCCTAAATGAGCATTAAATTTAATAACAATAGGTTAAGAATTCCTCATAATAGTTCCTAACAGAGAATAAGAATTCCGACCAGAGCATAAGAGGTGATAACCTAGCCTAAGATTCAATGACAGAGCATACCCAGCAGAGCAAAACATTTCCTAACTGAGCATAAAAGTTCCTTACAAAGCATAAAGAGTTTCTAACAAATGATAAAATTTTCTAACAGAGCATATGATTTTCTAACAGAGAATATGATTTTCTAACAGAGCATACGATTTTATAACAAAGCATACGATTTTCTAACAAAGCATACAATTTTATAACAGAGCATATGATTTTCTAACAGAGCATATGATTTTCTAACAGAGCATATTTCTAACAAAGCATACAATTTTATAACAGAGCATATGATTTTCTAACAGAGAGAGCATATGATTTTCTAACAGAGCATATGATTTTCTAACAGAGCATATGATTTTCTAACAGAGCATATGATTTTCTAACAGAGCATACGATTTTATAACAAAGCATACAATTTTCTAACAGAGCATACGATTTTCTAACAGCGCATATGATATCCTAACAGATTCATCCCTTAAAAACATATACATTATATTGTTTACTTCGGATTGTTCTTGATAAGAGTGAACAGTCCCTTGAATACAACTGGATACCAGGCATCAGTACAACCCGAGCCGTAGCAGTAGACACAAGTCTCCTGCACACTACCGCTTTGGGTCCTGTGCTACATACAGCGAACAGATAGCATACAGAGGGAACCTAACTGGACGAGCTACATCAGGAGAAGATGAACAGGGTTTCTATGACTGTGCGAAACCCCGCCCACATTGAAGATGTTGAGCTGGATTAAAATGAGGTTGATCCAGCTGACCTCACTCCTCTTATCAATGGGGACACTCCCATTGTCACGGTCCCAGCCTCAGAGGATGAAGGTGTAACTGAGGATGTTGTAGAGGATAGTGATGAGGGTGAAGAGATGGAGGAACTTGATAAGGAAGTCGAGGAACTCCGTAAGGAGGTGATAGACCTCCTGCACCCAGTCCTGGGGGCACATGCTCCCAACAGCCCCCTGTAGTCCCTCGTATTGAAGTATGGGACACAGGTAGAGCTTGGGAACGTAAATACAGACTGCACCCTGATCCGAGTAGCAGGCTGTTCAACCAGGTGGTAGATCTGCTCAGAATCATACATGAGCGGGTAAGCCAGCAAACCTGGAATAAAAGAGATATAGAACTGATTGACGGACTGAAAGCTATATCAGTCATGTACTTTAGGCTGGTAAACTAACTAAGAGAGTGCTTAAACGTCAAGCTAAGAAACCTTATAAGTAAAAGGGATCAAGGCTGATAATTATGTCATCAGACTATCTTTATCTAATATGATACGTATGCATTTATGATTATGTAAATAAATGTGTTGACATTGTATAAATATGTTTATTACTTTGGGTGTTAATTATTGTACGAGCAAATAATTATATAAAGGTTTACTCTGCGTGATAGAGATAGCCCGAAGTATAATATTGCCAGGTTGCAAAGATAACAACATTGCATGAGGGTTAGGTCCGAGTGATGGAAATAACCCGATCTGCAGAGTTGTCAGGTTGCAAAGATAATTGATCTAATACAAGTAGAATAAGTGTGATCTTATCAAAGTTTGCTAATTTAAGTTTGCCAATTTATTGCACATTTTTAGTAGTAAGAGAATACTACAATATATTATATAGTAGAACCTCTCTCTGAGAGAAAGCATGCAAAATGCTTGCAGAATATATTCAGCACTAGGGCCGCAACCCATATATAACCTTTATACTGTCAACGAGAATGTGTTCACACCCTTTGCTAATGGTAGATGTCAAAGTGTACTACAGTCAACGAGTATGGGTTCACACCCTTTGCTAATGGTAGATGTCAAAGTGTACTACAGTCAACGAGTATGGGTTCACACCCTTTGCTAATGGTAGATGTCAAAGTGTACTACAGTCAACGAGTATGGGTTCACACCCTTTGCTAATGGTAGATCTCAAAGTCCACTACAGTCAACTAGTATGGGTACACACCCTTTGCTAAAGGTGGATGTCAAAGTCTACTACAGTCAACGAGTATGGGTTCACACCCTTTGCCAATGGTGGATGTCAAAGTTCACTACAGTCAACAAGAATGTGTTCACACCCTTTGCTATTGGTAGATGTCAAAGTGTACTACAATCAACGAGTATGGGTTCACACCCTTTGATAATGGTGGGTGTCAACGTCTACTACAGTCAACAAGAATACATTACTACTTTTGCTGAAACAATATGTATTTATAAGTTTAATTAATGCATTCCTGAAAATGTTTTGATTATTTGAGTGCTGAATAAGTATTTACTTGTAAATCCACAATGAATGTATATTCAGTTGAGATTTCAATATGAATAGTCTGTTTCAACAAATACCGATCAGAACAAAATTATTAAACATCATATTTTCAATTGCCTCATAATAAATTTCCTTTCGTGTTTTATTTAAAGCTGAACCATCATACATTATTATTTTGTATTTTGTGTTTGAAAATAAATACTATTACTATAACTATACATACTTTTCTTGTCTGGGTGGGTGTTTGTTTGTATCCAATGAACGTCAAAACGGCTGAACCGATCGGCCCAAATTTTGTGTGGGACCTAACATGACCCCAAAGAAGGTTTATCTATGATCAAAATTTCAAAAATTAGCCTCCAACAAAATTTGATTTTTATTAAATTTTGAAAGTCCGCCAATTTTTAAAATAAAATCCGCGAATTTATTTTCTTTGTTCTTGTTTTACAATGTATTCAAAGAGAAAGTGTTCACAATTGACATGTAAGATAGGCGCGAAGCGTCCCGAAAGCCTAGTATGTTTAAAATGTGCACGAAGCACAGTATTTGCAGTTTTTAAATGTATTTCAAAAATTGAATTTTGGAAGAATTCATCCAAAAAATTCTTTTGACAGTAAATTATCAAAATTCCTGCTTTCATAAATAGTTAATTTGTTTAGATCAATCAGTAAGAAGTTGAGCCAAAGTTGGGACCAGGAGGAAATATCTGAAGTTTCTTCGGGTAAATTCAAGAATTGAGTCTTTGCCACAAACTCAAATTATCTTATCCATATATCTTAGCAACCTGATGGTGTTAACATTTGATATTACAAACTTAGATTATTTGATCTAACAGACTTTATAGATTATATCTAAGGTCTACAAAACTGGGTTGCAAAGATAAGGAATTAGTAAATCAGATGTGTGGTCAAAGAAAATTATAATATCAGCAAATGTTTCTCTAAAAACTAATTATTTGTCTTAAGCTCTAATAATTAATTCTTTTGTAATTAAGCCATGTTGTAGACCTTTGCTATTTAATAGCTTTGACTCTCTGAAAAATATTCAGTATGTAGAGTTCATAGTTTGAAAAATGTCAGGTTCTGACGAGAAAATGATAGTTCATTTTCCAATTTCTAATAATTTTTCTTCTTCAAAACTCTTTGTAAGCTAAAGACGAGATTTAAACACATTTTTTTCATTTTTTCATTTTTCATTTATCGACAAGAGTGTGGAAAGCTTTTTGTTTTGATGCAATGTACTTTTATGCAATATATACCACAGAATTGTGGTAGGCTGCTTTTATGCAATATTTTTATATACCACAGAATTGTGGTAGGCTGCTTTTCGCTAAAATATCGAAAAAAATCAAAATTTATACAACAGTAGATTTCTTAATGATATTTAAAATTTCTTTCGGATTATTTAAAAAAAAAGTGTGTTAAAAGTGATATAAGACGAAAATGCCGGCAGACATTTCTTGAATTTAATTTTTATTTCTAAATTTATCAAATTTTGGTTATTACAATATAATTGTTTGTATTTATGTAAATATAATGCTGCTATATCATTGATTGTATTTATGTACAGATGATGCTGTATCATTGATTATATTCATGCACAGATGATGCTGTATCATTGGTTGTTTTTTTGTAAAGATGATGATGGTGTATTATTGATTGTATTTATGTACAGATGATGCGGCTGTATTATTTATTGTGTTTATGTTCAGATGATGCCTCTGTATTATTAATTGTGTTTATGAAAAGATGATGCTGCTTTATTATTGATTGTACTTATGCACAGATGATGCTGTATCATTGATTATATTCATGCACAGATGATGCTGTATCATTGGTTGTATTTATGTACAGATGATGCTGCTGTATTATTTATTGTGTTTATGTATAGATGCTGCTGCTGTATTATTGATTGTATTTATGTACAGATGATACTGTATCATTGATTATATTCATGCACAGATGATGCTGTATCATTGGTTGTATTTATGTAAAGATGATGATGGTGTATTATTGATTGTATTTATGTACAGATGATGCTGCTGTATTATTGATTGTATTAATGTACAGATGATGCTACGGTATCATTGATTGTATCTATGTACGCTGATGCTGTATCATTAATCGTATTCATGTACAGATGATGCTGCTGTACCAATAGATGAGAGGTTAAAGTATCAGGATATTTTGACTTATCTAAGGTATATTTTGATTGATTACAAATTAAAATTAGCAATTTTTTTTCATATAATTTTATCTGTTGAATTTAAGAAAATAGTTATATATTAAACTGATTTCATTTCTTGATTACTTACTTAATTACTTACTTACCTACTTACTTAATCACAATCGTACTTACTAAGTCACTAACATCTTACTTGTACTTACTCCTTTTCCAACTTACTTTCTTGCTTACTTTTTGTCTTATATACAGGGTGGCTAAAAAAACCGGAGAATAAGGGCCTACAGACTCGTTTGTAATCGGATTTACAAGATTTTTATAATCTACGGAAAATTTCCAATTCAATAAGTCCAATTTAAGGATCGTACAATTTTATTGGCTCCTAAAGGGTCCACTGACTCGTTTGTAATCAGATTTTCAAGATAATTTCCGAATGAATCAGTCAATTTAAGGCTTGTAGATCTAAAAATGACAATTGTATAGGCTGTCTCCTAAAAGGCTATTTTTCAAGTTAGATCAAGGGCCCAAAAGTGTCTTGCTGCTTATGTTGGACATTATAAACTGTGAACTAAATTGTAGTAAACTGTAACCTAACATTGAATACAAAATTGTGGAAACAGAGATTTTCTTTTACTAGCCTAAGTTAGAACTTTAGGAGCATATTAAATTGTTATTTTTTAGATCTAAAAGAATAAAATTGATCATATTGAATCGGAAATTGTACGTAGAAACACAAAATGGTCTCATTTTTGAAAATACGATTATAAAAAACAAATCTGTAGACCCTCATACAAATTGTGCAAACGAGATTTTTTCTATTTTTACCAAATTTACACAACCCACTAGGAAACTTTAGAAGCCCATAGATCTCATTGAATCGGAAATTGTACGTAGATTTTAAAATTGATCTCAATCTTGAACATCCGATTACAAACGAGTCTATACTCTGTAGACTCTTATTCCCAGTTTTTTTTTAAAACGTTTGTTTTTAATCTTCGTGACAGAAACAATCTCAAGAACTGACGAGGGTCAACCCAGACCGAAATATATTTTCAATAAATGTGGAACTAACATATACTTTTTTTACTATACAGAGGTTTGGTCCATCACCATCACCGAATTTTTAACCTTGTACTTACTTACTTAGTTAAGTTACTTAGTTACTTACTCACTGTTTTTTACTTACTTCTTCCGTATAGCTTACTCCCTATTTTATTCACTTAATTACCCATTTGCTAACTTACTCACTTATTTCATTACTTATTCACTTACTTACCATATTTCCTAACAATTAATTCCTTTTTTTCTTTACTCCATAACTTACTTCCTTACTTTCTTTTGTTCCTCTAATATTTCCTTTCTTACTCACTTACTTGCTACATACTTGCTAACTCACTTATCCACTCCATTTCTTTCTTACTACTTACCTTATATATTTACCTACTTATCTACCTCGTAGATGTGGAGAATGTTGTGAGCTGTGTACTCCACCTCTAGTACAGTGTAGGAAGGGTCATATCTACTGCAGCAACTGTAAACAAAACAAAAAGCTGGTTCAGTGTAAAAAATGTAAACAAACCTTTGTTGATGCTCCAAACCTTGCTTTAGAGAAACTGCTTTCGTTCATCACTCTGCCCTGTAGATTCAGGTCAGATATATTCATGGTTTTCAGGTCACTGAACTACAGGGTGTCCCAAAAAAACATGGGAATTCAGTGACGAATTCGATATCGTCTTTGTTATGAATTAGCATTATAATACCTAATTTCTAAAGCCATAATATTATTATGTCTGCTAGAGTTTATTTTATGAAAAGGGTAAAAGACCGTAAATATGTGTCTATAATGTCTCAGCAAGATGAACAGTGAACACGGGCAAGTTTAATCTGTGTGTATACTGTAATTTTCTTGTTTTACTAAGTACAACTGCATGCAGTCAAAACAAAAACAAACAAAATGTGAACATAGCAGACGAAACTCTTACAGATTACAACTTCCTCAGTAGGTATCACTGTACTAAATTAAAGAATTATTTAAAAAGACGATATCGAATTCGTCACTGAATTCCCATGTTTATTGGGACACCCTGTACATTCCGATGATTCAAATAGGTTTCTGTATTACTGCAGTGTAGTTGTTATCCATAATGCAGGGTCCGGTGATATGTGATTTGTCCCTGTTCTATAGATGATAACCACATTGCAGAATTACAAATGAGTATTTGAATCAATGTTATAGGTAGTTCAGCGACCTAGCTCAAATCAATAAAACCCGGTAAACATTTGCAGAGAATAGGTTTAGATTTTATCTTCCATATTTTGTTAATATGTTCGATAACCAGCCAAGAATAATATTAAGAATAATAAGAGTTTCTGTTTATACTGCATTAAATATTCTGTTCTAGTAATTTTTTTTCGTTTTGTTTTTGTTGAAAATATTTTTTGTTAAAATCGAATAAATAAGATTAACACATTTCCCAACAGTTAAACCCAAAATAAACAATACATCGAAAGAATTCATCAAATGTCGTATTCTTCATTTTCTGATAATGGAATGTTGCAGATATTTAGTTTTTAATTAAATGATTACATGGAGCTCTTTAAAGCTGTTCCCGCATATTCATGGCTATTTATTTATTTTCGCAAATACTGCAATTTGCGTAAAATAGTATAAAACCCATTTGATAAATTCTTTCGATGTTATGGCTCATTCAGGGTTTAACTGTAGGGAAATGTATCACTAAATTTATCTAAATAATAATTTCCTAAAAAAGATTAATGAATATAAGAGAACTATACAGAATGCTAATAGACATTTAACCAATTAGTTGAAAAAAGTTCGTATTACAAACAATATGCATGAAGAGTAAAAACATGTTAATGGCTTCCCAGTGATCAATTAACATTCAAACATTCAAACCTGTTATACAGCAATTACATTAATTTGTTTTAATGAGTATCGTCTTCTTTCTTCCTGTTTATTTTGTATCCGACTTCTATATTTTCAAAATTGTGAAAAAATGAAACATCTACAACAACATTAAAAATAAAATAGATAAGAAAATAACCCTTTCTGATGATTAAACATGGGAATCTTTCTAATATCTAAATTCTAAATTATGAAGAGGCGAAAAAAAGTACAACTGCAGGGAGCCATTAAGCTAAGATAAAAGAAATCTCAGTTTACAAAATCTTTAAAAAACGATTCGTGGAGACTTCAGAAAATACAAATAAGAAAGATGTTTGCTGATCTTCAAGTTTGTTGCAAACAGTTCGACTCAATTAATTATAATAAGGGACTGAATACGCAAGTTGGAACCATTGTAGAGTGACATGTCCGATTCACAATCTCCTGATCAGTGATATGTCCGATTCTCAATCTCCTGATCAGTGATATGTCCGATTCACAATCTCCTGATCAGTGATATGTCCGATTCACAACCTCCTTATCAGTGACATGTCCGACTACAATCTCCTGATCAGTGACATGTCCGATTCACAACCTCCTTATCAGTGACATGTCCGACTACAATCTCCTGATCAGTGACATGTCCGATTCACAATCTCCTGGTCAGTGATATGTCCGATTCACAATCTCCTGATCAGTGACATGTCCGTATCACAATCTCCTGATCAGTGACATGCCCGACTACAATCTCCTGATCAGTGATATGTCCAATTCTCAATCTCCTGATCAGTTATATGTCCGATTCACAATCTCCTGATCAGTGATATGTCCGATTCACAATCTCCTGATCAGTGATATGTCCGATTCACAATCTCCTGATCAGTGACATGTCCGATTCACAATCTCCTGATCAGTGACATGTCCGATTAACAATCTCCTGATCAGTGACATGTCCGACTACAATCTCTTGATCAGTGACATGTCCGATTCACAATCTCCTGATCAGGGGCATGTCCTATTCACAATCTCCTGATCAGTGACATGTCCGTATTTAATTTGGTCATTAACAGGTTACAATCCAAATATTTAGTTTGGTTTAACAGCTTACATCTTATATACAGTGGTAAGCGATTATATCAATACAATGAAGACGACGTTGTTTACTTAAATTTGATTGTTAACAAGTTTTTTTCGAATTACAAGTTTACAAGTAATCAAAGAAAAGCTTTTTCAATTGATAGCTTCTTTTATCCTTTATGTTTATGTGCATTTATGCTGTTTAACAGCTTGATATAAATCAAAATGAAAATCTAAAGTCGTCTTCATTGTATTGATATACTCGCCTACCACTGTAGTTACAATTTATAATCTAAATATATTTAGTATCCGTGGATGTGAGCGGGTTTTCTTCTCTACTGGGAGAGAGGAGCATGAGACGGATTGTAAATACCGTCCTATTCCTTGTCAATACCAGATCCATGGGTGCAAAGCAGTCTTCTCACAGAAGGTTAAATACGTCTTTAAATGTCGTCTTTTATCTAGATTTTTGTATTTTTCTTACACTCAATTGGTTCCCCTGAAATATTATTTTTTCCTTGTAAAAATACTGTGAATTGACAGAAGAAAAAATTTAGTCTTCGATCAGAGCTTTATATTTTAATGCTTAATTAGATCGTTATCAAAAGTCTCATTCTTTTGGGGTTTCCTGAAGGACCTGAAGTAACATTGGATGTGAACAATATACATTTAACCAGGTCGAAGCACATTAACTTGGATTACTTTTTGCTCTGAATTTGAATTTAAAGAATATGTGCTTCAATTTGGATTATATTTACAGATTTGATGTATATTCGGAGTTAATATTGTCGTATATAGCAGAATCATTGTTACGTTTTGCTTTGGGTTTTTATAAAAGTTAAAAAAATCGAACTTGTGATTAAACCTTCAGATATATCCAGCGCCCCGTGATTTTTGTATAGCCAGTTTGCGATCTTATTCAGCAACTATAGAACGTAAATATTTATAGATATCAAATGAATCATGATATTTCATTTTATAATATTGCAACCTACTGCACCAGTCACTCCCTTTGTACTTCCTTCTGTTTTAACAATTCAAAAGTTTACGATGTGGATATCTAGTTCAAAAGTTTACGATGTGGATATCTAGTTCAAAAGGTTCAACCAGTATTTAAAAAGGTACAATTGTACGGTTAGAGCACATTTTGGAAATGTGCTGGCACCACGTCCACAGGATATGCAAGTATGCGAACTATCCTCACTCTAATATTATTTAGGAAATGTGCTGGCACCACGTCCACAGGATATGCAAGTATGCGAACTATCCTCACTCTAATATTATTTAGGAAATGTGCTGGCACCACGTCTACAGGATATGCAAGTATGCGAACTATCCTCACTCTAATATTATTTAGGAAATGTGCTGGCACCACAGAATGTGCGAGTTTGTGAACTATCCCAATTCTAATATTATCTAGGAAATGTGCTGGCACCACAGGATATGCAAGTATGTGAACTATCCTAATTCTAATATTATTTAGGAAATGTGCTGGCACCACAGGATATGCGAGTATGTGAACTATCCTAATTCTAATATTATTTAGGAAATGTGCTGGCACCACAGGATGTGCGAGTATGCGAACTATCCGCACTCTAATATTATCCCTAAAATGCCGACAAGGAAGAAAACAGTGGTTGAAGGAGGAGGAGATATGAAGGAATCAGGAGAACAGGAGAAATCAGGAGGAAAAAAGGAAAATTAGTAGCTGGGTTCATAATTCAGCTAGGTGAACAGGAGCCGATACTGAACAGGAACTGTTCCTGAATCAGAACTATGAATTCCTGAATTATTCCGGAACAGGAATTATCTTTGAACAGTTATTATTTCTGAACAGGAATTATCTTAAAACAGTTATTATTTCTGAACAGGAATTATCTTTGAACATTTATTATTTCTGAACAGGAATTACAGTCTAACATAAATTATTCCTGAACAGAAATCATCCCAACACGTAAATTATTTCCCGAACATGAATTATCTTAGAACCTAGGAATTTTTTCTGAACATTAATTATCTTAAAATATTAATTATTCCTGAACAGGAATTTTCTTTGAATAGAAATTATTCCTGAACAGGAATCATCTTTGAACATTAATTATTTCTGAACAGGAATCATCTTTGAACCTAAATGTTTCCTGAGCAGCATTTATTTTCAAACAAGAGTTATTCCTGAACTGGAACTATTTTCGACAAAAGTTATTTTTGGACATGAATTATTCCTGAATTATTCCTGAACAGGAATTATCTTCGAACCGGAATTATTCTTGAACAGGAAAAATATGTCGCCCTTGAAAACAAATCCTTCTTCCTAACAACATGTTTAACTTAGTGCAACTCATTTTTTATATTCCTCCCACAACTGCAGTACACTATTGGTGTAAACAAAGTTTTGAGGATTTAGTTTTTTGAGATATTTCAATTTTTCTTCCTAGATTCTGAAGTATATTAAGAGGAATTCCGCCTTATAGACACATTAAGAATGAAAATAAATTTTGTTATTTATTGAACTCTTTTAATAATTTAAATATTTGTTTAGTTAGAGTGCAATAAAAAAATGGAGTGTGTGAATTATTATTTATTTAGACTCTTCTATTCTTTTGTAACAGAAGATACTCTTTCTGTGTGTTTTAAATTCAAGTGCCCATCTGTGCAAAGATGGCGATGTCCGATTTGCAATGGTACCCTTTAAACTTTTATCTGATTCCATCTGATTGCCATCTTTGCATGGAGGGTCACTTGAAATTACGCGTACAGTCCCTTTAAGAAGGAAAACATGGCTTCTAGTTTACTTCTTTAACAAATTTTCTGTGTGAAGCAAAAAGCAAATAAAAAAATGTAAGTAAAATTCAGAGGTGAAAAATAGATTTGATTAAAATTGGATAAAATAAAAACCTTTTCCGGCTCAATTAAATTACAGCATTGCCTGGGGGAAATGTGGGAGTGTGGCGGATATGAATATCGTCTTCCTGAATATTTCTAGAGAAATCCAAGGAGGAGTTTCCAGATCAGCTGATATAAAATCATGTGTTAAAGATTCAATTATTTTACTATATAAGTTAAGTTTTTAAATAAAGTTAATCGTTGAGTAACTCTTTTCCTTTAAAGTTGTAGCACGCCAAATTGGTGACCCCGGACTATTTGAATACGTTTTCTAAAGTTCTCTGCAAAGCAAACCACAGTGTTGTGATATAGTTAAAAGCTAATTTGTGTCACTAGCATTTTTCGGCTGAAAAGTGATCCTGCCTCCCTGTATTTTCCACAGGCTCTCACAGTAAGCGAAACCTAGTTCGACAGTGATATTTTTCTTTTCAGCGTTGCGATGCCTGGAGACCCAGTTTTGACCACGGGCGGTGTACGATTCCTTGTACCGGCGTGACGTACGGCATGTACCGCCCTGACATTATATTGCGTCAGCCCGGTTTAAACTTTGATGGCGCGGCCGATTTTTACATGGTTCCCGGCCTATATCATAGGCCTATTTGACTTACCCCGCTAGCTTAGTTTAGTGTGTGGTAGTTTGTTCTTATTGTATCCATCCCTGTCTCCCAAACAAGATGCATGTCGGGTATAGATTGAGAAAACAAGACAAAAGTAGTGCGTGCAAGAACATACATTATTTTCATGTTTTAACGCACCACAATAAACCTAATTAACACAAACAATCTACTTGCACTTGCGTTGCGATAATGTACAACTAGAAACTATAACAAATTAAGTGCATCCATACGTTATCGAAATAATTTTAGTCATATTTTGGTATCAAATTAAATCCATAAAATCATTAAAACGTAAAGCCCAACAAAAAAAATACAGAACACTGAACAGAAAATACGAAAAGTCTACATTTAATGGCCGAAAATGGGTTTTACAAGGACGACCTTGTGTACACCAGCTCATGTTTTACTTGATATTATCTTAAATCAATACGAACCAATTTAACGTATAGTTTCACTCTGCTATGAAAAGTTACATCAATGTTCAAAACTGGGTCGACTTTGAGATGTCGCAGCCTTTGATCTCACTAACTCACTAAATCACTAACTCACTAACTCACTAACTCACTAACTCTTTTGTGTAGTACTAGAAATGTTCATTTTACCATGAAGCACTTGTTTTTAGTATAAGTCTTTAAAATTAGTTTTCAAAATTCTCATAGATTTTTGCGTGAGATTTTGTAACCTTTGGATTACTGTGTTTTCAAGAATTTTGACAACGTTTTAAAGATATCTTGGTTTTTTTGTCTTAAAAGGTAAAGATATCTCACATATTTAATGGTACGCAGCTGATTCTTCAATTATATATTTTTTAAATTCGTGTTTTTATTCCATGGTGAATTCTTTGAATTTGATTTGAAGTAAACCCCTTAAATTCTGACCATCCATAAACCTTCCCTGGGGTCATGTTACCGAAAGGCCCAAGTTAAACTGTTGGCGCCCGATAGGTTTACTAGTTTTGATGTTTATCAGACAAACCTCACTGCTACACTTGACCAAATTCAATTAAATTATCATGTTTTTCTGGTCCCCCTGTCTGTGCTCATATTCGGTAGCATTGGTTTTACAACCTCAGTAAATCCTAAAGTCTGCAAAGATAATAAAACCCAAAATGGTTTTATACATTTCTTCATCCAATCCTTTTATTCTTTGTTAATATCTTGCAAGGATTAAAACCTCCTTGCTAAAAGAACCATGACGTCAATTGTGAATGAAGCATTCAGTTAAACCACAATTCTGATTGATTTTATTAGTTTTTTTTTTAAATTGATATTTATCGATTCAGTAAACATATATTTGATGAAGAATGGAATAAAAAATATAACTATTTTTTCTTTCGAAAAACAACTTTAAAAAATAATCTATCTATGTGGCGTGGCCTCTACGGTTGAAAAAGGTATAACACGTTTAAAAGGACTGTAAGTGTTATTTTAAGTGACCCTCCATGCAAAGATGGCAATGCCAGATTTACAACAGTAACTGATCAAGAAAATTAGATGTGTTAGTTAGTTTCTCTAAACTATTCATTTGTATTTGCCAGTTCTCTGCGAAAGTGGCTTGCGCATTTCTTGCTTATAACTTTTAAGAAACAATAGAGAAATTATTAGAATTTAACACTTCTCGAGTTACAAAACGACGTTGTTTTCCACATTTTTGATCAGATGAAGGTTTAAAGGGTACCGTTGTAAATCGGACATTTCCATCTTAGCATGAAGGATCACTTGAAATTACGCTCACAGTCCCTTTAAATATTTTTGTCCACTTCTGTGAGAGTGAACCACTGTTGAACAGGATTAAAATAAACTCTTGATTATAAAATACGGAATTTGTTTTAACTTTTTTAAGCATATCTAAATATTTGATTGCACTAAAGAAGTATATAAGTATGTTGCCTGTGACCTTGAAAAAATGCCTGAATCAACCCATCTCAAAATAGGCCTGTGGCTCTCTACATTTTAAACCCATTTTCCGCTGACCAGGAATAGTAAACGCTAAAATATTTATCACTACGCAATTTACAACACAGTACACACCCCTTTGCAGGGGAGGGGGGGGGGCATCCGGCATAGTGTGGTATTTTAAGAGGGGGGAGGGTGACTGTTTTTAATCACAATCTTCCTTTTAAAATGCATGAGCTTCGTGTTTCATGAGGTATTTGTTTTGTTCCTGAGTTTAGCATACGTTTTATACTGTACAGGGTAATGTGATTATTTCTTTTACTCTCATTATACGTTAAAGGACGGAGCTTACCTTAAAGTTGTAAATAAATATTTTATTATTAATGATTGTATATAGATCTTTTAAAACATGTTTTTTAGGTTTGTTCTGCAAATAAAGAGTTTTTTTTGTAGATTTAACTGCTTGTTTTTACTTGGAGAGTGTGATCGCTTTATGAGAATGGACAATTTTAATGTATTCTGAAATTTTTCATTTACAACCATTGTATGAATTGTTATAGTTTGAATTGATTTATAATTATTTCAATTTATAATTACTTTTCCCTTTCATATATTATCCTTGAATGAATGCTGTAACTCCGCAAAATTTGCGTAATTCAAGAGGTCAAGGTGTACTGCACTGTACATAGGTTACACAGGAAAGGAAAAACATATACTTAATAATTTTTTATATATTTTATCATATGTATTATAATATATTATACCAGATTAAAATAAATCAAGGTGTTTTTACGGATCAAACAAATGTAGTTAATGTAAAATAAATGACTATAATGAAGGATATAAAAAAGGAAGCCTTTATTTTCTAGAGTTTGTTAATGCCAGAACTGTGTGGAAAATTTAAATCAAACTAAACTAAAACCAATAATTTGATATACATCATTTTGTCTGACGAAATTGACGATATCTCAAAATATAAAAAATATAAGAAAAATCCCGGGTTCTACATTATATTTATCTAATTTTCGTAGATGTTCAATTATAGCATAAACGGGATAAACCAATAGTAGTGCAATACTTGAATATTTTGAACTGTTCTATAATTAAATATTTTTATAACATAATTTTCAACAAGAGTAGAACAAGCAGACCTATTTTAGCAATATAGTGAAATTTAGGTTTCAGTTTCTCTTTCATTAATATTTGTAATGTTTTTCTTTCATAGAATTATATTTAATCATCAAGTTCGTTATCTTTTCTGAAAAATATATAGGGGAACCAAGCCACTTTATAAATTTATATCTTCACCATGTAATTATAGTATGCAAACCATTTTCGTGATGAATTTTGTTTCACTGTTTTCAATAAAGTATTTGAGAAGAAATAAAAAAAAGAAAACAAATTTGTAATGTTGTTTTATCTATTTTTCTAATCGAAAAAGTTTAAGACTTAGAATTTTAAAGATTAATTACAAATGGTGGATTTAAAGCTTACAATTTTGATATTTTTGCAAACTGATATTTGCAAGATGCATCAGGCTTATTCTGCACAGTTACACAGTGCAAAGTTCTTGTGTGCTAATTGTTTTGTGTATTTGTATTTCTGTGTATCTTATTCTGCGCAATTAATCAATCAATCGAACAGAAAAAAGCATTAAAATTAAGCCTTTTTTTTATTTTTATGTTATGTTATGTATTAATTATGTTTTATAAACATAAAACATAATTAAATTTCATATTATATAATTACACGCAATGCTTTCAAACACAGTACACATTGTACAAGTACACCTTCCTTGCATTCAAAGATGATAATGCGGGATTTACAACGATATCCTTAATAGCTTTGTCTGTTCAAGTTTCTCTGCAAAAGTGACTTGCTTGACTCAGAACAAGTCACATTACAAGTCAGGAAAACGAGTTTATATTCCCCATTTTTAATCTGATTTAAAGAGTACAATACAATACAATACAATATCTAAAGTTTTCTCAAAATTTTGACAAATATTAACCGGAAATTCTAAAATTTTTTTAATATTTAATTTTTTTTTATATTTTTTATTATTTATTATTTTTTATTTATTGATACAAACCTTGAAGCCTTGCTTTTT